AATCACACTACTCACTAGACTCCGCCCCACAGGCATCGTCAGAACAACGATGACCACTTTTGCCCATTGCTGCCCCCCCCAACCTCCTTATCACCCGCAGGATGGTCGTATAGGTACATATATGGGGCCGCGAAGGGCTGCAACGGGGCCACGAAGGGCTGCAACGGGGCAACGAAGGGCAGCGAGGGGGCCACGATGGGCTACAACGGGGCCACGAAACAAAGCGAAGGGGCCACGAAGAGCTGCAACGGGACCACGAAACAAAGCGAGGGGGCCACGAAGAGCTGCAACGGAGCCACGAAGGGCAGCGAGGGGGCCACGAAGGGCTACAACGGGGCCACGAAGGGCAGCGAGGGGGCCACGAAGGGCTGCAACGGGGCCACAAAACAAAGCGAGGGGGCCACATAGTTCGGGCATACATATATGAGGCCGCGAAGGGCTGCAACGGGGCCACGAAGGGCAGCGAAATCCAGATATCTAAGCTTGTGAGGAAGTCCAAAGCGTGAGCGCGACTTCTGGGTGCCTGAGTGTCGGGAGCGCGGCGCTTGAGTAATTTTCGGGGCATTCCAACGCAAGGGCGCTATTCCCGAGTAAATTTCAAGCAAGTCTCCAGCGAGACGGCGACTCCAGAGCGCTGACAAAGCGATTCCTGGATAAATTGTGTGGAAGTCCCAAGCGAGAGCGCGATTCCTAAATAACATGCGATGAAGTCTCGGGCGGGAGCGGGGGTCCTGGCTAAATTGTGAGAAAATCTCAGGCGGGAGCCGTTGTTGTTGTAACCCGGGGGCCAACAACGCAGTTTGAGGAGGAAGATTTTCCCTGATCAAAAACAGGGTGCGAACGCTGGGAGGGGCACTTCAATTGGAAATTACAATGTGCACCGGAGGGGGGAATCAACAATAATCATTCTTCAGTAGCGAAGGTTCAACAACAACAACAATCACTTTAAGACTGTTCGTTCTTACTGGCACGCGTGTCGTGTATTCTGTATATCCCAACCCTCGATACCCGCCCACTTCGTCTTCGATTGCACCCTCTTTCGGGAGGAATATATTCCTTGTCGGCCACTGGCGGAAATGCGAGGAATTCTCGAGCGAAAGCGCCGTCCCTGAGTTCGGGGGCCTCGCTGGCCAGGGGCTCTCGGAATACCTATGGAAAAACATCGAACGGGAGCCCTTGTCGCCGTGTCTGGGCCTCCACCAACTTGCCTGAATTACGAGAAAGTCTCGAGCGAGAGCGGCGCTCCTGAGTTCGGGGGCCTCTCTGACGAGGGTGTCTGAGCACATCGTGAGGAAGTATCGAGCAGGAGCCCTTGTCGTCGTGGCTGGGCCTCCACCAACTTGATTGAATTGTGAAAAAGTCTCGAGCCAGAGCGCCGCTCTTGAGTTCGGGGGCCTCTCTGGCCAGGGTGTCTCGGTGAAAAATGTGAGGAAGTATCGAGCGGGAGCCGTTGTCATCGTAGCTGGGCCTCCAAGGGTCCATATTTAGATTCAAGCCAACGCTCGTGCGGGAGCTTCGTTTCAAGAAAAATGTAGCCGGCGTCGAGGCGCGAGCGCGCGGAACCGCTTCAGGAGATCAACCATCAGTAGTCTCTGGAAATCAACATTCAACAACATCCTGTAGTTCTGGACTTCGGGCCTTAGAACGAGCCCGGGGACCTGTCCTGGGGTGCGTTCCGAACACGGCCTCGAGGCGGTTCCAGCCTTGGCGACGAGGAGACCTAAAACATATCCAACACGAAGGGGGAAAGCAACAGCACGCATTCCCCATCATACGGGGGGTTAGTGTCGTGACGACCCTGCAGTTGATTCTTGCACCACGTGGACCGTTCAACAGAAAGATCGGCGTTTTTTCGACCACCAGATCGTTCCGTATTGGCCGACTCTGGGCCACCAGCGGCGCCCAACCTTCAAACGCCTGCGCTCGGGTCACCGCCGAGCCGACGCGACACGAACCTACCGTATCGATCATCCACCCTGTGCCCTCGGCCCGTTGCGACGATGGCCCGATGGCCGAGGATGGGTCCCAAGGCCGCCTGGCGACAGGCCGTGCAACGACCTCGAAATCCGCAACGAAATTAGCGTCAGACGCATGCATGCTGCCCAGTGGTCGTACACACCCAGGGTGGGAGGGCAGGTTTAGGTGTTGTTGTTTTTCCCGAAGACCTCACCGCACCGCCCTGGAGAGCCCCGGAGGCCCCCAGCCGCCCGAGGCACCGTCGGAGGGCGGCCCGGGGCCCCAAAGCAGCAGGGCGGCTGCCCCGCGCCCCCACCGCCTCCGCCGACGGTGTGCCCACCGCACCGCCTCGGAAGCCTCGAAAGCGAGGTCGGGCGCCCCCAGGATCGAATCGACGAGTCGGATCAGCGATCGAAACGAATCGGATCGGCGAGAATCGTCGGCCGAGTCGGGAGAGATCGGATCGGATCGGCGGAAAGCGGCAGGCTAGGAGGCCTCCGTCGAGAGATCGGAAGCCCAATCGGGAGTCCCGAGTCAAGTCGAATCGACTCGGAATCGGAGGCAGTCGAGATCGAATTCGAATCGAATGGGAGGAATCGAAACGAGACCTGCGAGGTCCTGCGGCGCGAACTTCATCGACACGCCGGGGAAGGACTGCTCCCCGAACAGGGGCGGCTTGCCGAACGACGCGGTCGGCACGCCCAGCTCCACCATTGCAGCGGTCGGGCGCCCCAGTCGGGGCGCGGGAGGGAAAGCGCGGGGGGGGGCGCGGATCCACAGATGCTGGGATCCGGGCGACGCATTCGCACTCCTGGGGCGCCGCTGCGCTCCTGCTCGTGAACACGTGTCGCGTGTGCGTGGCTGCACTGTCAATGCCGCGCTCTCCCGCGGCTTCGCTGCGTTCCCCTGCTCACGGCGCACACCGCCAGGGGCGGCGGAGAGCTCGAGAGGTCCACCGACCCAGAGCACAGATCCTGAGATCCGGCCGTCGCGTTTGCTGTGGGAACCGGACCCTTTACCGGCCTGGAACAGATCCCGATCCCTGTGATTGGTGTCGCCTCGTCTCGATGCCAAGCGGCTTCTGATGGCGCGTCCCCAAGATTGTCATGGCCTTTTAGCCCGCCAGTCTCAGGGATAGGGATACGTTCGGGAGCGGCCAAGAGGGGGGTGTCCAAGAGGGGGGGGTGCAAATCATGACCGGCGGCACGTGCGCGGCCCAGCGGGGGGGCCAGGGACGTAATGAAATAAGAAGAGGCGCCATGAAATCTGGGGAAATATCATGGCCCCCGCCATGAGATCCACCCCCCCCTAGTCATCACCCCCCTCTTTTCCGCCCCCGAGATACGTGCGAGGCTGGTTCACAAAAGAACAGCCTCGGCCGGGCGAAGCTCGGCCAGGCGGAGCCCGGCCGGCGGATCTCGGCCAGGCTGAGCTCGGCCCGTGAGCTGTGCAGCCTCGCCGACGGCGAGGACGAGGGACGCAGCGACGACGACCAAAGGGGCCCAAAGGGGGGGGGGGCGGCAAGCCCCGCGCCGGCGCTGGCGCTGGCGCTGGCGGCGGCCAGCAGCGACGACGGCGGGAACGCAGCGACGATTTCCAGAGAGAGCCCATGGGGGGTGGTTCAGACCATCACCACCCGAAACCACCACCACACCACCACCAAACCACCACCACCACCACCACCCACCGCCACCACCACCACAATCCACCACCACAACTACTACCACCACAACTAACCACACAACCACCGCCACCACCACCACCAGAACCCACCACCACCACCACTACAAACCACCACACCACCACCACCACCACCAGCGCCACGACCACCAGCACCACCACCAGCACCAACCACCACCAGCACAACCACCACCACCACAACAAACCACCACCACCACCAACGCAACCACAACCACCACCACCGACACCACCACCACAACGCACCACCACCACCACAACCACTACCACTACCACAACCACCACGACAAACCACCACACTACCACCGCCACCACCACCACCACCTTAACCCACCACCACCACCACAACTACCATCACCACCACCACCAGAAACCACCACCACCACCACCACAGTCACCACGATCACCACCACCACAACCTGCCACCACAACCACCACAACAACCACCACCGCCACCACCATCACCACACCACCACCATCACCACCACCGCCAGCACCACCACCGCCACAACCACCACCACCACCACAGCCCACCAAGACCACCACCTCAGAGAGGCCCCCAGAGACGCCCAAGAGGCGCCCAGGAGGCTTCACAAATGCCCTTCAGAGGCCCCCGAGAGCCCTCCGACGAGACCACAAGAGGCATCCAGTAGGACTCTGACCCAAAACCAAGGCACGGTGGCGGAGCGTCGTCGTCGTCGTCGTCATCGTCGTCGCCGTCGTCCTCGTCGACGCTCCCCGCCGCCGCCGCCCGCCGCCGCAGGCGCCGGCTCCGGCCCAGAAAAGAAAGTCGTCGCCCCCGCTTCCGCCGCCAGCCGCCGCCGACGAAGGCGCCGGGCCGAGGAAAGGGAGAGAGAAAAAGGAGGGGAGGCGGGGGGGGGTGAAAACCCCACGGGAGAGAGGGGGGGGGGTCCAGTTCAAACCCACCCCCACTTGCAAGCAACCACAGAACGCGCTTTCTTATGTTAGTTTCCTGTGCGCCTGGAAAGGGGAGGGAAGTTGAAGGGGGGATGCGGTCCCTCTCCTGACCTTCCTTCTCCTTCTCTCCTCCTCCGCCATCAGGGTTCCACTGGGGGGCTAGGGCAGAGGGTGCTGGACCGACCTCCCACATCAAGCCACCCCTCTAACAGCTCGACACAGGGGTACACGACGCCGAGGCTCGGTCCCGCCTCCTTCGATCCTCGATCCTCCATCTTCGCTCCACCTCCTCCTGCCCCCTCATCCTCCACCGCCCTCCTTCTCCTCCTCCTCCTCCTCCTCCTCCTCCTCCTCCTCCTCCTCCTCCTCCTCCTCCTCCTCTTGCTCCTTCCTCCTCTCCTCCTCCTCCTGACCTACCACTGGCAGTGCTACCCCCTGGAGGGGTCAAAGATTGCCACTGGTCGGTCGGGCCGCACTTGGGCCGGTTTGCCCCAGACATCCGACACCTTGGCTTCCTCGTAGCGTGGGGCTCCCGCGGGCCGCTGCCCAGGATGCGAATAGGATGTCGACTACAGAATTGATTCACCCCAAATTTGACCTTTTCGTCGGGCCTGCGAACAATACGTGGAATGCCCTGTAGATCTGCGGAGCGTTCGACCCCTCTTCGTAGGCCCGACCATCCGCTTGCCCCCTTGTGGGGCCACCAGGCTGTAGGGCCAGGGTTTGCTGTTCCCTGCACCGGTTCCCGTTTCCAGTTTCCACTGTTTCTATTTCTGCTTCTATTTCCGCGCGAGGGGGGGGAGCCGCAAACCGCCATTTTTACCACGCCCAGATCGCGTGCTCAGAATTTCTGAGGGGGGTCAAATTTGACACCCCTCACACAGATCGGCGGGGTCAAGGTCCAAAACACGCGGGACTTACGTTTCTAAAATTCGGTGGCACCCCTCACGCAGATCGGCGGGGTCAGGGTCCAAAAACACAGAGAATTTGCTACATGTCTGAAATTCGGTGGCACCCCTCAAGCAGATCGGCGGGGTCTGGGTCCAAAAACACAAGGGATTTGCTACATTTCCGAAATTCGGTGGCACCCCTCACGCAGATCGGCGGGATCAGGGTCAAAAAAAGTAGGGAGTTGCAATATGTTTGACATTCGGTGGCACCCCTCACACAGATCGGCGGGGTCAGGGACCAAAAACACAAAGGACTTGGTACATTTCTGAAATTCGGTGGCACCCCTCACGCAGATTGGCGGGGCCAGGGTCGATAAACACAAAGGATTTGCCACATCTCACGCAGATCGGCGGGGTCAGGGTCGAAAAGCATGTGGGATGTGTCACATGTCTTAGAATTCGGTGGCCCCCGTCACGCAGATCGGCGGGGTCAGGGTCTCAAAACACAAAGGATTTGCTACATTTCTGAAATTCGGTGGCACCCCTCATGCAGATCGGCGGGGTCAGGGTCGATAAACACATGGGATTTGCCACATGTCTTGAAATTCGGTGGCACTCCTCATGCAGATCGGTGGGGTCAGGATCAAAAAACATGGGATCTGCAACATGTCAATACTTCGTAGAAGAGCTTTTTGCATAGCCCACGCGAGCAAGCTCGAAATGCAACACCGAACTCAACAATATCATCAGAATCTCAATGTGTCTTGCCGATTACTCACCGTCTTCGCGTGAAGTCCCGACGCTGCTTCACGGCGGCGCCAAAGCCTCATGCTTTCGCTCTTGCATTGCCCATTATCCGAGAGGGGGCCGGCGGCAGGGGGCGAAGCACTTACGGAGAATATCAAGTTTGGGGTGAATTGATTCTGTCATCGATCTCCTACTCGAAGGATCAGCTTCTCGTCCTGAGTCCTTCTCCAAGGGCCCCAGGGCCCAGCAAAGGCCCCGAGGGGCCGACAACTATCAAAAGCCTGCCATCGAAATTCCTGCATGACCATGACCCCGAGGGGTCCGTGGAGGCATCCACCATAGGGTCCGAGTAGATGGGGCACGAGGATCCATGCATCTGCGATGCACCTGCGAAACCGCCGAATCGAGCCGCACCGCCGAATCATCGGCGATGCGGAGCGATCCTCCGACCCAATCTACTCCGACCCCATTTGCGAGGCATGGAGTCTTGGGCTGAAGGGGGACGATAGGGGGGGCCAGCTCAGGGGGAAAACATCGAGCGTGAATCGGTGATACACCGCCGATAGACTCTGGCGATAGGCCCCCGATCGCAGAGCCAGGCGTTCCTGGACGGGGAGGGCGTTATATCCGGCCACTACTGATGGGCCTGTTTTCCACCACCACCACCACCATAAGTTGGAGGGGGGGCAGTCCTCCTCCTCCTCCTCCTCCTCCTCCTCCTCCACATCCTCCTCTTCCTCCTTCTCGTCCTCCTTCCTCCTCCTCCATCTCGTCCTCCTCCCCCCGCCCCCCTCCAGCCTACATGTGGTGGTGGAAAACAGGCTCATCAACTACCTGCGATCAGTGGGCGGCTGAGGGCCGATGCATCCCCCCCAGAGCCTATCCCCCCCTAACGCTGCCCATTGGCGTTCGGATCATAACTCGGCCCTCCACCGGCCGTTCGGAACGATCTGGGCACCACCGGAACGGAACGCCCCGGGCGAGGCGCAGCCACTGGAAAGCACCCCGAGGCTGGAAAGCCGGCGAGCACCGACGGGAACTTCCGAAAACCTCACCAACCTCGAAAGATTCCAAGATTCCGTCCCCCCCAGATCCAAATGGCCGTCGTGCCATAATTCGGGCCCCAGGCGGCCGTTCAGGACGACTCTGGCACCCCTGGAACGCTCTCGGCACTGCGCAGCCGATGATAACCACCCCGGGGCCCCGACATACCTCGTACAACTGTAGGAAAACAAAAAAAATGAGCCCATCCCCCCCTGACCTGAGCATTCTCTTGGGGTGGAGGGCTCGTTGTGACATCCGTATGGGCTTGTACACTTCGAAAACCAATCCGTTTTACGCATCACCTTTTGCAGATTCAAGCCTCGGAAATCTATCGGAACGGCACATCCGATTTCACCCCAGGAAAATGCTCGGCTGACGCTGTCCCCGATCGTCGCGGCAAGAGCCCGTTTCCTCACCACGACCGGCGCCGCGCCGTCTCCCTCGGCAGCCCCCGGCCAGAGCACCGGCGCACCGGCGCTGGCGCGAGGCCGGCGCCGCGCGGGGGGGGCCGCGCCGCCTGGGCGGGGTCGTCGACTGCATCGCCCGCCGCCGTCGCCCAGGAGGGGGCGGAGGAGCGGAGGGCGGAGGACGAAGCTCGCTGCCCAGCGCCGCTCGCCGCCTCCCTCCTCCCTCCTCCCTCCTCCCCCCTCCCTCCCCCCTCCCTCCCTCCCCCCTCCTCCCCCCTCCCTCCTCCCTCCTCCCCCTCCCTCCTCCCCCGCCGCCGCTGCCGCGTCTCGGCGCGCCGCCGCCCGCGGGGGTCCTTCGGCGGCGCGGCGGCCGCCGGCAGCACGGCGGCCGAGGGCACGCCGACGGCGCAGAGGCTGAACTCCCAGCCGCGCCGGGCGGGCCTCGGAAGACGGCCCGAAGGCCGGGGGGCAGCTTGAGAGCGTTTTTTCTTGCGTTTGTATGTTTTGTGTGTCTTACTGTCTTTTTCGCCGTTCTAAGATTGGTCGCAACGATCCAGGCTCGGCTCGAGAACCGAAGTTAAGCGGCGCGCACAGTGCTGCTGTGCCCCTTTGGGAAATCCACGTCCTGACCAGAACGCCCATCTGGAAAGGCATGGGCATCCACCGCCGCCGCCGATGCACGTCACGCCAATCCTGGGACCAGGGATCGGTGGACACGCCCGCCTGGCCGGTCAGTAAGGGGTCATCCACCGATCTTCGGCCCGCTGATCGGCATTGCACGCCACAACTGTGTGCTTGGGCGGCTTTCCCCCGGGAGGCGTGCAAAAATTGAGTTCCCGACGTCGGCCACTGACTCACCGTGCTGTCATCAAGATCATATTTATCCCTCGGCGGCAACACGCGTTATCTGAAAAAGGCGAGGGGGGCGACGGCCACGGCGGCCAGCGTGCGCCCCCGAAGATTTGCCTGCCGCGCCGGCGCAACGCAGGTAACGACAACGCCCGCGTGTACCACAGCCGCCTTGGGGGAGTTCTCTGGCCACCCCCAGGCTGCATCGGAGCGCTCTTGAGCAGTCTCGTAGCTTTCGTGGGATTGTGGGAGGCGTATTTGGCCAATTTGGCGGCCTCTTGCGGGACCCGTAGGACGCCCAGCGGTTCCGGCAACCTCGACACACACACATAATATATATATATATATATATATATATATAATATATATATATATATACATATATATACACGGTCGCCCCCCCCCCCCCCCCCCCCCCCCCCCCCACCCCCCCCCACCCCCCACCCCCCCCCCACACCCACCCCACCCCCAGCACCCCCAAAACCACCGAAACACACAATCTTCACTGATCGTTTGCTCCTCGTCGCTCCTCCTCCTCCTCCTCCCTCCTCCCCCCCCCTCGAAACCTGCGAAAAGCACCGAAAACCGCTGGGACCCCCCCCCAAAAAAAAAATACGATTTCGGAGAACCTTGCCCCCCCCCCCCAGAAGGTGCACCGAAAGCATTGTTGTTTTTTTTGTTTTTTTTTGTTTTGTTGGTTTTCTCCGGCGTTTGTCGTTGACTCCTCCTCCCCCCCCCCCCTCTCCGCCCCCCTCTCCTCCCCCTCCTCCTCCTCCTCCTCCCCCTCCTCCTCCCCCTCCCCCTCCTCCTCCTCCTCCTCCTCCTCCTCCTCCTCCTCCTCCTCCTCCTCCTCCTGTCGCAGTCGCTGTTCTGCTATATTTTCTGGACGGCGCTCTGCGTCATCGCGCAAGCCCTTCGGGCGGGTGGTCGGCGTCGACCGTTTGGCGGGCAAGACGGCTTACAAAACAATAGCGGTTCATACGTGCACGCACGCGTCCCGCCGACGGCCCTCGGCGCCGACTGCGCAGCGCTCAATGCGCGCTCGCAGGGCGCGGCCGCCCGCTCACTCGGCATCGCTGGGGGGCGCCGCCGCCGGCCCCGAGGCCTGATCGCCCTGTTCAATCAGGCGCCCGAGCTCGGCCCAGGGTGCCGTCGTTGTCGTCGTCGCCGTCGACGGCGATCGTCTCCCTGTGGGCCGAAGCGACGATAGAAGCGAATATCGCCTCTTGCTCCGCGGCGACCACTCCCGACAGCGGACCTCCGCATCCCACCATGAGCCTCCTCGCCCTCTTCACTGGCGGAGGCGAGCACAAGTCCTTGAAGGCGCCGCGGTGCGCCCTGGCGAGGCTCTTGAAAATGGCGATCTGCTCGTCCTGGTCCTCCTTCGTCAGTTCCCCGCGACGTCCCACGATGTCAGGCTGCGCGGCGATTGCGGCGGGGGCGCTCTCCTCTGGCCCATCCACGCCGCCGCCGAGACCGAACGCGTCGTCCTCACATGGTGCGTCTGCCGCGTCGTCGGGGCGAGACGCCGAAGCGGCCGCGGCTGGTGCGTCTGCCGCGCCATCGGAACGAGACGCCGAAGCGGCCGCGGGGGCGGACGATGCGCTTGCCACCGCGCCTGGCCTGACGAACCCCGAAATGCTGCCGACCGACAAGGGAGACCGCGCGTCCAGGGTCATCACCAAACATCGGGGCAACGTGGACCGTCGCAACCGCGGGCACGTCACGGCCCTCCACCAGACTGCTCATGTAGCCGATAGACCATTCCATCTTGTCGGCATAGTCTGAAGGGAGCGGGCGGACAGCGGGCGACGACGTGTCCCGCACCTCGCTGGCGAAGAGGTCGGGGGCTCTGGGGTTGGGCCACGGCATGGACTCGGCGCCGCCCTCCAGATCTGCGGACGCCACGCGCCAGTGCCCTCCGAGGTCCGTGACCACGACGAAGTGCGACCTGGCGAGGATGGCATTGAAGTCCTCCTCGGTCTTCACCTCCTGGAGAGACGGGGCGACGATCTCCTTGAAGCGGTCCACGTCGTACTTGTTGCGCGTCGCGGCATCCGACGCCGCCCCCTCCGCGTCGCGGTCGGAAGGGTTTGCAGCGGCTTGCCTACACGACCCTCGCTCGAAACCGCAGACGCCCCACCGAGCCCACAGCAGAGCATCCTCCTCTATGGGTTTGAGGAAAGCCTTGAGAACGCCAGCCGTTACCTTCAGACCGTCACGCGCTGGCCCGACCACCACCACCGCGATTCCCAAGCGGGAGAGGGTCGCAAAGGTTCGCTTCGATCGGGGCCTCCCCGGCGATAGGAACCGCACTCCCCCCCCCCAGGAAAGAGCGGGCAGTGAGGGCAGGGGCCACGCGTGACCACCGAACCTTCTGCAGGAAACCGTCGTCGAAAATCCCAGGAAGGACGTCCGTCGTCGGCTCTCCCTTGAAGAAATCCATCTGCTTGGCAATGAGAAAGGCGACGTCGTCGGCGGACCCCTTCTTCTGGATGCTGCACGCCGAGTGCGTCCAGGCCAAAGTCTTAGAGCCGCTGCCCTTGCCGACCCTGGACTTCCCGATCCACGAAACCCCGTGCAAATGGAGGGTGCCAATCATGAACTTGAGGGCGCCGTTGAGAAACCAGCCAGCGAAATCCTTCACCGTCAAACTCCATCGCGTGATCGGCTCGGCGTTTGCCCTCCCTTTCTGGTGATTGCGCAAAGCGGTATCCACCTTGGCGGCTGGCCAACCGAAAATGTTCGACCCCTCTCTATTCACCTCCGCGTCGGCCCACTCCATGAGCTGGTTCCTGTTGTTACTGCGAAGGCCGTGCTCACGGATGAACGCGTACCCCTGCGCGCTTATCATGCTCTAGCGGCTGCTTCCGCTCGTGCTGCGGCTTGATCGTGTAGTACCTTACGGCGGAGGCCTTGGATAATAATAACTTCGATCAGGAGGAGGAGAGATAATATAAGGAGATAAGGAGGTAAGGATGAGGAGAGCAGGAAGATGAGAAGGAAGACGAAGATGAGGAGGATGCACCCCCCCTCCCCAGTCCGTCGTTTGGGGGTGATGGGATATATATATATATATAATATATATATATATATATATATATATATATACATACACATATATATATACACATACATACATACATGCATACATATTACAAAAATGAAAGAAAAAAAAAAAAAAAAAAAAAAAAAAAAAAAAAAAAAAAAAAAAAAAAAAAAAAAAAAAAAACAAAAAAAAAAAAAAAAAAAAAAAAAAAAAAAAAAAAAAAAAAAAAAAAAAAAAAAAAAAAAAAAAAAAAACTGCATTGGCGATTCGCGCCATGCGCCTTGTTCCGGACGCTTCCCCAACAATATCAAGAATTCATCGCCTGCTTCAGCAGAGGGAGGCCTCGAGGCCTGGACGGGCGATCGGTTCATTTTTGCTGATGTCCCTGGTGCCTGCTGACATCGCGTTCGCCCGATGCGCTTGCACAATTGTCCGCAGGAGTCGGGAAGGAATGATGATTATTTCACGCGCGAAGGTGCTGGCAAACGACGAAGCATCAAACTGTTTCGATGGCCTTTGTCCATGAAAGGGGAACGGGAAGGGAGCAGGGATGAGGGGGGCTGAATCGGCGGAAGGGGGGAGGAGGGGAGGAAGAAACGGGGAGAAGGTCCAGAGGAAGGAGCAGGCGAATGCGGATGGCCATCGGATGCCACGAACGTGGAGATCGACGAAGAAGGCAGTGGGGGGAAGGGAGAGAGAGAGAGAGAAAGAGAGAGAGAGAGGGCGATAGAGGTACAAGAAAAACAGGCGGGTTGGCGTGAGCGCAGGGAGCGCACGCAGAACGCCATCTGGGCGTTTTTGAAGCTCTTTTGGGCCGTCCTGCGGTCCTCTAGGGCCGTCCTGGGGCCTTTTTGGGCCGCCTTGGGGAGCTGGATCCTCCAGAGGTCTCCTGAAGCCATCTGGGGGCCTCCAATGGCCTTCCTGGGGGTCTCCCTTGGCTTTCGTGGGTCTCTCTTGGGAGCCTTCTGGAGGCATCTTGGGCTTCCTGTGGGCAGTCTCGGGACTCTCTGGGCCAGTTCTGGGGCCCTCTTGGGCCGTCTTGAACCCCTCTGGGGGGCCTCTGGGCCGTCTTGGGGCGATGTCGGAGGCCCATGGGGCAGTCCTGGACGCTCTGAAAACTCAAAATGCGGATACGAATGGGACGATGTTTGCATTTTCGGGGCTCTCTTAACGGCCTGTTGGGCCATCTTGGGGGCCTCGTGGGCCGTCTTCGGACCATCGAGGTTCCTCGTGGAGCGCTCTTGTGCTGTACTGGGTCTCTCTTGCGCCTCTCCGATGACCCCATCGCTTGGAGTCTGCTCGCGAGGCCCGGCAGCGCGCCCTGGGAGGCCCGAAGGGCCAACGGACATTTTCCAGGGGCGTCCTGGGGGCCGCCGAGACATCCGAGAGGCCGTCCGGGGCGTCCCTGGGGGGGGCCGGTTCAGGGGGGGAGTCCGGGTAATAGAAATACAAGAATCCGCCGACCCTGTCGGCGTGTGCGAGGGGCTTCCTCGTCCGTTCCTCGCCGCCCCCCCTTCTTCCTTCCCCAATTTTTCTTTCTTTTTGGGCCGTACCCTCCTGCCGTCATGCCGTTGTCGATTCGAAGGGAAGCCCCTTCCCTTTGATCCCTTCCCCGGGGGGGGGGGGGTCCCGGGGGGGGTGGGGGGGGGGTGGGTGGGGTGGGTGGGGGGGCAGATTCGTTTTTCCTCGGGCGGCCTCGAAACCTCGAAAACACTCCAAATGAGGTCCGAATGCCCAAGATGGCCCCCGAGACGGCCCAAGAGTGCCCCGAGTCGCCCAAAGATCGGCCGAAGACGCCCAAGATAGCCCCAAGACCGTCCAAGAAGCCTCCAAGACGTCCCAGGCCCCCTCCAGAAGCACCCCCACGAAGGGCCCAAGAGGCCACACTCATTACTTTTCCATCGGAAACTTACATTTCTAGCATATACGACGTTTCGGCCTTCACGGCGTCACAGACAGCTTCGTCTTCAGGGTCGGCGGCACCGGCCGTAAGGCCTTCGCAATAGAAATACATGCATGCATGCATACATACACATGGATAAATATACATACATAGTTACATACAAATATACGCACATATAACTGTATATAGATATGTATACATATGTACACTAGAACCACGCGCGCGCTTCGCGCGCGCTTAGGTTCTAGCTAGGAGGCGAGCTTGAGCTTGAGTCAACGAAAGTCGCAGGGAAGGGGGCAGGGGGAAAAAGGCCAGAGAGCGCTGAAGGATACAAATACTGGAACCCTCTTGTGATTTTGTGGGGGGCCTCGTCCGGCCGCTCGCTGGGAGTTTGACGTAGCTTCTCGGGAGCCTCTGAACCTGTCGGGGGCCTCCTGGAAGCAGGTTCGAAGCATTTTGGGGGCCGATTTGGGGCTTCTCGGGGCCTCCTTTGGGCCTCTTGGGGGTCTCCTGGGGCCTCTTGAGGGGCCTCCTTGGGGCCTCCTGGCGGCCTCTTGGGGCGGAAGGCTCGAGCTTGCGGTTCGTGGTCCCCCTCTGGGCCCCCTCTTGGGCCCGTCTTGGGGCCCTCTTGGGCCATCTTGGGCGCCTCTTGGGCCGTCTTGGGGCCCTCTTGGGCTGTCCTGGGGCCCTCTTGGAAGCTTCTTGGGCCGTCTTGGGGCGGTCTTGGAGGCCTCTTGGGCCGTCTTGGACGCGGTGAAAGCCCAAGATGCGAACATGCGAAAAATATACGTTTTCCCATAGGAATGGCACGAATTTTGTTTCTTGGACCTCTTGGGGTGCCTCTCGGAACGTCTTGGGCTGATTTTGGAAGCCTTTTGGCGCCTCTTGGTGGCGTTTTGGCGCCTCCTGGGATATGTTGGGCCGGAAGCTCGGAATTCGAGAGTGGCTTTCTCCTTCTGGGACCCCTCTCGAAGTCGTCTTGGGGTTCTCTTGGGCCGTCTTGGGGCCGTCCTGAGCCACTCGTGCGCAGCCTTGGAGCGCTCCCGGAGGCCTCCTAGGCCGTCTTGGAGGCCTCTTGGGCCGTCTTGGACGCGGTGAAAGCCCAAGATGCGAACATGCGAAAAATATACGTTTTCCCATAGGAATGGCACGATTTTTGTTTCTTGGACCTCTCTTGGGGTGCCTCTCGGAACGTCTTGGGGTGCTTTTGGGAGCCTTTTGGCGCCTCTTGGCGGCATTTTGGCGCCTCCTGGAGCCTCTTGGGCCGGAAGCTCGGAATTCGAGGTTGGCTTTCTCCGTCTGGGACCCCTCTCGAACTCGTCTTGGGGCTCTCTTCGGCCGTCTTGGGGCCGTCCTGGGACACTCGTGCGCAGCCTTGGAGCGCTCCCGGAGGCCTCGTAGACCGTCTTGGGCGCCTCTTGGGCCGTCTTGGACGCGGTGAAAACCCAAGAGGCGAACATGCGAAACATATACGTTTTCCCATAGGAATGGCACGATTTTTGCTTCTTGGGCCTCTCTTGGGCTGCCTCTCGGAGCGTCTTGGAGGCTTCTGGGACCTTCTTGGTGTCATGACAGGCGTCTTGGAAGGCATCTGGAGCCATCGGAGCGCGTTTCGAAGCCGCCTGCGAACGATCTTGGACGGCGTCCGGCGGTCCGACGAGCCTCCGGGCCCCCCGGAGCCAACATTTGTGGTCGGGGTCCCGGCCCCGGGCCCCCGGACCCGGTGCGCCGTTATATGTATATGTAAATGAACACAGTGCACAGGCTCACCCTAGCACATACGCGCACCATGGCGCCACATCACCTGTGAAAATACCATAGCGCCTCTGTGCATCTCAGCACCCGCGTGCGCAACAGCGCCATTGCACACCACAATGCCTGCGTGCACTAGATAGTTGTTGTACACCACGGCGACTGCGCACATCACAACAGCCGTGTGCACCACACCGTGGCCGTACACCAGTGCCTGCGTGCACCAGAGCGCTTGTGCGCACCACATTACAGCGCCTGTCGAGAACACAGCAATTGCATAAAACACCTTGCAAAAAATGTGTGTGTCGAGGACGACGAGGGAAGGAACGCTACGACGACGACAACGACGACGACAAGGAAAACGACTACAACGACGACGACGACGACGACGACGACGACGACGACGACCACGATGACGACGACGAAGACGACGACGACGACGACGACGTGGACGACGACCACGACGACCACGACGACGACCACGACGACGACGACCACGACGACGACGACGACGACAATGCCTGTGCACCTCCAGGAGCCTCTGGGCCTCGTCGGTCGTCGTCGTCCTCCTCCTCCTCCTCCTCCTTCTCGTCTTCATCCTCCTCCTCCTCCTCCTCCTCCTCCTCCTCCTCCTTCTCGTCCTCCTCACCTCCTCCTCCTCCTCCTCCTCATCATCATCATCCTTTTGCTGCTCATCCTCCTCTTCCTCCTCCTCATGAAAATGCCTAGAAGATCCACTGGAAGATTCACGCCTGAGGCCAGTTCCCAGGCGATGCTGTGACGGGAGAGAGAAGGGGGTCTGGGGGTAGCACGTGCTGTCCCCAGAGCCTATGAAAGAACAGTCACACAAGCAACGTCGTGAACACAAGGAACGAAGCGGCTACTTCTGGCAGCGGCTCGCCTCGGCCCCGAATGAGTTCCGTGACCGTAGACCTGGGGAGCGACCTCTGGCCGGAGCCCTCCTGGGAACGGTGCTCACCTCGGCGTCTTGACCGCATCAGCTCGGCAGTGTGCCAGGGGAGCTGCAGCCCCGCTCCGCGCTCCGCCGGGGTCCCCACCCGCTCCCCTCGGCGCGCGCGGGCGGCGGGCGGCGCCCCGCGAGGCCTGGCCAGGCTCAGCAGGAGGGGCCCGCCCCCCGGCATCCGGCAGCTCGCCAGCGGCATCGACAGCGCCCCGCCCTGCTCGGGGATGGACAGACCCCCCTTTAGTAAAACGTGGTTTAGTGAAAACGACTTGAGGCCCAAACCTGGCGGGCGCAAGCCTGGAAAATAACGGCCACGGCGCCCTCTCGAGAACCGAAAACGGACAATTCACTAATCGACGTGTCACTGTTGGGGGTTCTGTCCACCCCCGACCTGCGCCACCTGCGACGGGGCCCCGCCGCCGGAGAACACGCACGCGAAGGGCCTCGCCTGCTGCGACGACTCCTCGCGGGTGCCCGCCGCGGGCGGCACCGAGCCGGCGGGCCCGGATCGGATCGGGGCGTGCGCCGGGTCGGCGCCGCCCCGGCAGCGGGGTCGGCATCGGAGCGGATCGGCTGCGCCAGGACGCACAGCGGCGCCGCGCGGGCCCCGCGACGCATCGGATCGTCCGAATGTCGGAAACGTGTGGTGCTGAGCCGGCCGAGAACGATCTCGAAGCGGACCGATCAAATCGAAGTTGACCCTGGAGGGGGGGGCCCAGACGGGAGGAGAATGGCTCAGGGAGCGGAGAGCATCAGCTTGGACTCGGCAAGAGCCCTTCCCACAGATCGGCGATAGGCCAGGGGTGGCGAGACCGCACCTTCCTGAGCAGCGGGCACCCAGGCCCCGAATGGCGATGACATGTGCGAGTGGGGGTCGGTGTAGTGGAGGCCCGTCCACAAGAAACCTTCAACGAGGAACCCAACCCTGAGACCCCAGGGCCTCCCTTGAGTTTTGGTGTGGGAGCGTCGCACTTTCCATCGCAAAACCATCGAAGCCCAAGAAACCCAGGGCACCATGGAGGCAATCAGGGTGTTTCTTGGCATGTGCCTCCACTGCGTGCCCCCCCACATGGGCCAGCCCCCACCCCCATGTCTGTCGGAGCCACTGACCGTCTTGGCAGCGCGCGCGAGGGGGTGGGAGATCGCCCAGACGTCGGAGTCGAGTCGTACCGAAGTGCGCGAGGCCGAACTGGAATCGGATCGCACGAGTCGACATGGGGCCTGCTGGAGGGGGGGGGGGGCCTCCTGCCTCCCGGGAATGCAAGGGGGGACAGTCTTGCAAGAGGCCGGAGGCCTCCGAGAATGCCTCTTGTGGGCGGACGAGAACGACGTCGTGGCACGATTCGCTCAGGATACGTTCCAGGAGGAGGAGGAGGAGGAGGAGGAGGAAGAGGAGGAGGAGGAGGAGGAGGAGGAGGAGGAGGAGGAGAGGAGGAGGAGGAGGAGGAGGAGATTCGCTCAGGATACGTTCCAGGAGCTCCAAGAGGCTTCATCGGCCCTCGCTTCTGGAGCGCGCGCGGGACGAAAGGAACTCCTGGGGACCTGTTGGGTATCGTCTCGCCGATCCCTATCCCCTTTGGCGTGGCCTGGGCCCCTCAGGCCGACCTACCCCCCTAGATGGGGAGATAGGCTGTTCCCTTCGGGACTCAAGGAGTATATCCCCAACTGGGGTGATGGGATGGTGGGGATCGGAATGGGGATGGGTATGGGGATAGGGATCGGATAACCTGTACTCATCTAAGAAATCTTGGAACCGTGGAACTTCTCATTACCATGCTGTCCTGCTCCTCTGACGAGAGAGAGGCCCCCTTGCCATCGCAGGCGGCGCGAGGCTCCGGAAGGCGCTGAGATCCCAAGGCCGCTCACGGCGACGGCAAACCAACAACTGTAAAAATCATAACCGACAGCGAGACCGAAGCCGACCGAAATCGGCACGCCGCAAGCGGCCCGCAAGGGCGCAGCGACGCGGCAACGAAACCATAACGGACCGAGCCGAACAGACCGAATGCGGCCGACTGCGGCGCAGGTGGACCGACCGACCGAACCGCAAACACCCTTGGACCCCTGGAGCCCCCCCTGGCCCTCTTAGAGGGCCGCCTCAGGGGCAACGATAGGGGGGGATGCATTGATCCCCAATCGCCCATTGATCGCCGACAGGAGCCAGATAGCCCACCCCGCCCAGGAACGTACAGTTTGGCTATCGGGGGCCTATTGCCGATCTATCGGCGATGTATCGCCGGATTCCTTTGGACGCCCGAAATGGGTAGAGAAAACATAGGTACGATGCCAAACAACACATGTTGTACTAAATCGGCGGCGGGCGCTGTTGGCTAGGCGGTCTTCTTTCTCAAGTAGACAATGTCCGCGGCGACACCGACAGCAAGTCCTTTTTCAGAATGAACAGGGACTACTGTCGGTCTAGTTACCCATTTTACCCGTACCCACTTCGATCGTACCGAATTCTAAGTCGATGTTTACCCCCCTGCGCCAGTCCCCACCCTTCGTTGAGAGAAGTCGAATCGGCGGGAATCAGCAAGCTGGTAAGTAAGGCCTCCATTGAGAAACCGAAGCCCAAAAGTCAGAATCGGAAGCCGAATCGAATCGGAATCGGACTCGACCGAAATCGAATCGAATCGAATCGGAAGAATTGGAATGAGCCCTGGCCACCCCTCCTCATCGGGGGCGCACTGACCCGGGTCGATGCAACCCCGGGCTCGTCGGGCGTCGCAGGATCCTGCAAAATCCTACAAGTAAAGGGGAATTAGGACACACAAATAAATACACACAAATACAAATAGTCCCCATATTTTCCCATATTTTCTGGGTTTCTGTCTTCCCCCCCACTTCCCATATTTTCCCATATTTTCCTGGGAATCGAGGATTAATTGTGTCTGTGTGTTTTTGTTTTCCTCCTGAACAAGATCCTGCAAGATCCTGCGCGCTAGCCCGGGTCAATGCAACCCTGGATTTGCAGGATCCTGCGGGGTCCGGCACGCTGGCCGACCCCCGTCTGCATGGACCCCCGTCTCAAGGCTCCCGAGATCTGGGGCATCCTCCCCCTGGGCGGCGCGCACAAGGAGGCAGGGGGAGGAAGGAAGGCTTCTTGGAAGGAGTATACGAGTATAAGAACTACTCGCAAATGGCCTGGACCCGCCGCGGGGAATCTACGATAACTGCACCAAAGCAAAGATATGTGTTTCGGACTTCTGCGAGTAGTGGAACGCGCTCGGTGAAGGAGGCCGGTTTGCAGAAGGCACCAGCACTACGTTCCCTCCCCACCTGACGGCCGATCAGAAACGAGCCTTTCGCGACATGACTCGGGGGCGCGCAAACATGGATTAGCGATCCGTGGATTTGGGGCGCGGTCGCCAAATCCATGGATCGGGGGAGGTGCCCTCCCCAACATGCGACCGGTGCCGCCTCGCTCGGCGGCGGAAATACGCGATCTCCCCTGGAAACGGGACCCGTCGCTAGCCTACGCCCCCCTGATCCATGTTTGCGATCGCCTGAGAGGAGGAGGAGGAGGAGGAGGAGGAGGAGGAGGAGGAGGAGGAGGAGGAGGAAGAGGAGGAGGGGGAGGAGGAGGAGGAGGAGGAGGAGGAGGGCGGTGGAGGAGGAGGGGCAGAGGAGGTGGAGCGACGATGGAGGATGGAGGATGGAGGATCGAGGATCGAAGGAGGCGGGACCGAGTCTCGGCGTCGTGTATCCCTGTGTCGAGCTGTTGGAGGAGGAGGGGGAGGAGGAGGAGGAGGAGGAGGAGGAGGAGGAGGAGGAGGAGGAGGAGGTGGAGGAGGAGGAGGAGGAGGAGGAGGAGGAGGAGGAGGAGGAGGAGGAGGAGGAAGGAGGAGGAGGAGAGGAGGAGGAGGAGGAGGAGGAGGAGGAGAGGAGGGGGAGGGGGAGGAGGAGGCGGAGGAGGAGGAGGAGGAGGAGGAGGAGGAGGAGGAGGAGGAGGAGGAGGAGGGGGAGGGGGAGGAGGAGGAGGAGGAGGAGGAGGAGGAGGGAGGAGGAGGAGGAGGAGGAGGAGGAGGAGGAGGAGGAGGAGGAGGACGTGGATCGCCCTCGTGGCACGCCGCCCCCCTCTGGCGCGAGGCCCGTCCTCTGTCACCGCCCAGCTCGCCAGCAGCGCCCCGCGCGGCCCGAAGGCGAGGCACGGCACGCTGCCAGCGCAGCCCGCGGCGGCCCCCTCGCAGGTGGGCAGCCGCAGCTGCCTGCAGGAGCAGGGGCGCACGAGGACGCACAGTGGAAGCGGGTCCACAAGAAGCCTCCCACGAGAAGCCCAAGCCTGAGGCCCCGGGGCGTTCATGGATCCTTGGTGGGGACGTCACGCCCTCCATAGCAATACCATTAAAACCCAAGAAACCCAGGGCACCCAGGAGGCAAGCAGGGTGTGTCTTGGCATGGGTCTCCCCACTGCCCTACAGGAACATGGGAGACCAACACCAACACCACCAGGGACCACCAGCGGGAGGAGCCAGGGAGGGGTCCCCTGGCGGTGTGGTCCCCCCTCTCGCTCGGGACACCCCCGGGTCCCCAGCTCGGGGAGGCATCGTGGACCTCCTCGCTGCAGGTGGCCCCCTGGTGGTGCTGCTGTCGCTTCTCCCTCCCCCACACTAGTACTATGCGTCCTCCTCGGGGGCGTGCGCCCGACCCGATCATGCAGTAGCACCGTCTTGGCAGTATGTCGTCTCCCGAGCGGTATGACAAGAATGCGCCCGCGACGGACCTGATGCTGTAAGGGTTCTCGGCGCGCGCGTCAACTCCTGGGGAGGGGGGGCGACGTACAAATTACGCGCGGCGCTGCAAAGCGCCAACCTGCCACGGGGTGCCTGCACCCACGTCGATGGGTGTCGGCGCCCCCCTGCGGACTCCCCTGGCCAGGCCGGGCCGCGCGGCGCGCCTGGCCTGGATGCCGCACGGAACGCCAGGGTGCAAAAAGCCCCGAAAGAAGGGTGGCGGGTGGGAGGGAAACAACAACCTCTCCGCAACGCCGCACCGCGACGCTCTGCGCTGCGAGGAGGGCTTGGCCGTGCGCGGGCGCGCGCGCCCCACGGCCGCTTCTGTCGGCGGCACTGCTAACTCGCGCGGCGTGTGGCGGCGGGCCGCGCTACCGAGCGCGGGCGCGGCCCGCGAACGCGCCAGCGCACGAATTTGTGACCGCCCACAAACACCCCAGGACCCCTCCAGGACCCAAGGACGTTGATGGGCCAACCACACATAGTGTTGGTATGTTGGGGTGGCGCCGACAAGGGCCCAGAGTCGAACCGATGAGTCGGATCGGCGGATATCGGCAGCCAAGTCGAAGCGGCGGATGTCGGCATGCTAGCAGCGCCTCCATGGAGAAACCGAACTCAGACTCGGAATCGCTGGGGGCGATATGTTCTCCACTTTCAAAATCGATGCGCCTTTGTTGCAAAATTAGGGCCCGCGTTTCCCGTGTTAGGGATTTTCGTTCGGGACGATTTCGGTTCGACCACGTTTTGGGCAGCCGTTGTTTGTATGATGTGGGTATGCCATAACTTTGGTTGTCCGTTCTGGTTGACCGCGCGCCGATGTTGAAAACCGAAAGAACAATATTGGGAACAGCACCACCAACAACAACAATCAGTTTAAGACTGTTCGTTGTTGCTGCCACGCGTGTTTTGGATTCTGTATACCCAAACCTCCGATACCCGCCCACTTCGTCTTCGACCGCACCCCCTTTCGAAGGGAATATATTCCTTGTCGGCCGCTGAGGGCAGCACGAGAAACTCTCGAGCGAGAGCGCCGTTCCTGAGTTCGGGGGCCTCTCTGGCCAGGCCAAGAGCTCTCGGAATACATCTGGAGAAATATCGAACGGGAGCCTTTGTCGCCGTGTCTGGGCTTCCACCAACTTGCCTGAAGCACGCGAAGATCTCGAGCGAGAGCGCCACTCTTGAGCTCGGGGGCCTCCCTGGCAAAGGTTTCCGCGAATACATCTTGAGGACGTATCGAACGGGAGCTCTTGTCGTCGCACTTGGGCCTCTACAGTTTGACTCATCAGAAAGTCTCGAACGAGAGCGCCGTTCCTGAGTTCGGGGGCCTTCCTGGCAAGGGGCTCTCGGAGTAAATCGTGCGGAAATATCGAGCAGGAACCCTTGTCGTCGTGGCTGGGTCTCCGCCAACTTGACTGAATTGCGAGGAAATCTCGGACGAGAGCGTCGTTCCTGAGTTCGGCGGCCTCTCTGCCCAGGGCGTCTCGGGGTACATTGTGAGGATGTATCGAGCGGGAGCCGTTGTCGTCATAGCTGGGCCTCCATGGGCCCACTTTCACACTCAAGCCAACGCTCGAGCGGGAGCCTCGCTTTCAGAGAGCGTGTAGCCGGCATCGAAGCAAAAGTACCAGGAACCGATTCCGGAGGTCAACAATGTATTTTCCAGACATGAATCGTCAACAACAACAACAACAACAACAACAATCATTTAAGACTGGGGACACTCCGTTCTCACCAGTGCCCGGGTTTTCATAGGAGGCGGGCAATACCCCCACTTTGTGGGGGGGCCGGTTTCCAAACGACTCTTCGCCACCACCCACACCCAGCTTCCCGCCCTATGACGTTCGGACACTTCACTTCGTGGCATGCGGACGACCGTGGCTACTATTCAGGGCCCCGCGGCCGACGACGACGGCGTGCGCGCGCGAAGAAAAAACGAATGTGTCCCGCATGGTATTATTTGACAGGGATGATGGCCCTGGCAGGTGCGCAACCGTTGTGGCAGAAGTTCGAAAAAGTTGCTGGCAAAAGCCCGTTTGACAGAAATGTTTAAAAAGTGTTGGGTTTCCTACGAATCCGCAAGAGCGCGCGGGATGAGATTTTGACATTTTTTTGTTGAAAAACCATTGGTTTTTTGATGTTTTTATGTTAAAATCGCTCCGAACACTAAGCTTTTGGAAGGATTTCGTCTTGCGCGCGCGAATGTCCACTTTACCTTATTTTTTGCAAGGGATTCTTGAAATTTGATTATATTAGAACAAGAAATGTCATTTTATAGTGTTTTTTGCAAGGGAAACGGATTACAACAAAACAACCGGATCTTGATCACATCGTATTACCTGAGGCTTCCTCACGAAAATGATGAAAATGTAGCTGCGGCCTAGGCGGCGCAGGGGGGCCGTGCACCAGGGGTCCCAACAATAATTATTCTTTAGAATTAATAATGTTCAACAACAACAACACCAACAACAACAACAACAACAACACCAACAACAACAGCAACAACAATAACAACAACAACAACAACACAGAAACAACAACAACAACAACAATTACTAGCACGTGGGGACACACCGTTCTCACCAGTGCCAGGGTTTTCATAGGAGGCGGGCAATACCCCCACTTTGTGGGGGGGCCGGTTCAAGCTCTACCAAATTTCCAAACGACTCTTCGCCACCACCCACACCCAGCTTCCCGCCCTATGACGTTCGGACACTTCACTTCGTGGCATGCGGACGACCGTGGCTACTATTCAAGGCCCCGCGGCCGACGACGACGGCGTGCGCGCGCGAAGAAAAAACGAATGTGTCCCGCATGGTATTATTTGACAGGGATGATGGCCCTGGCAGGTGCGCAACCGTTGTTGCAGAAGTTCGAAAAAGTTGCTCGCAAAAGCCCGTTTGACAGAAATGATTAAAAAGTGTTGGGTTTCCTACGAATCCGCAAGAGCGCGCGGGATGAATTTTGACATTTTTTTTGAAAAACCATTGGTTTTTGATGTTTTTATGTTAAAATCGCTACGAAAACTAAGGTTTTGGAAGGATGTCGTCTTGCGCGCGCGAATGTCCACTTTACCTTATTTTTTGCAAGGGATTCTTGAAGTTTGGTTATGTTAGAACAAGAAATGTCCACTTTAGCTTTTTTTGCAATGGAAAACCGATCGTAACAACACAACCGGATCCGGACAAACCCGTTTTGCCTGAGACTTCCTCACGAAAATGATGAAAATGAGGCTGCGGCCTAGGCGCGGCGGGGGGGTCGTGCACCAGGGGCCCCAACAATAATTATTCTTTAGAAGTAATAATGTTCAACAACAACAACAACAACAAGCATTCTAAGACTGTTCGCTCTTAAGCGCCCGCGTGCCATTCAAAACGAGTTCCCCACGCCCTCGATGCCCGCCCTTTTTGTCTTCGATCACACCCCCTTTGGGGGGATTCTTCCACTTTGCGGGGGGCGGCGGGCTTAGAAAGGCAGGCAAACCTGAACGGGCGAACAATCCTTCGTGGGCGTACATGTGCCCGCCATTGGAATTAGTGTGGGCCCTGCAAAAAAGAGGAGGGGGGGAACGAGGGAGAGTGGGAGGAAGGGAGGGGGAGGGACGAAGGAAGAGGGAAAACGCCAGGAGAGAAGGAGCGAAGAGGGGGGCGGTTGATTAGAGGCAGAGAGAGAAAGGAAAAACAAAAAAAAACAACAGATAAGAGAGGTAGAGAAATAGACACACATATATATATAGAGAGAGAGAGAGAAAGAGGGGAGAGAGAGAGAGAGAGAAAACAAAAAAAAGAAAAGGGAGGGAGGAAGCAGGAGAGGGGAGGGAGAAAGGAGAGGGAAAGGAGGGAGAGGGGATAGGGCAAAGAGGCATAAGGATGACGGAAGAGAGGAGGGAGAGAGAAAGGAGGAGAGGAGGGAGGAGGGAGGAGGGAGATGGAGGAGGAGCAGGAAGGTAAGAGCGTGAACGTTCGAGGAAATCCTAGGCGAAAGCGCCGTTCCTGAAGGAAGTCTCGGGCGGGAGCCCACGACGGGCGGGCGATCCCCTGACGGGCGGGTCGGGCGGGTGGGACATTCAAGCGGGATGCCTGAGTATGGCCAAAGCGCGATTGCTAAGTAAATTGTAACGGCGTCCTTGGCGCAGCGTGTTCCTGAGCGTCGAAAGCGCGATCTCTGAATACATCGCATGGAAGCCACAAGCGACAGTGCTTTTCCTGAAAACAATGTGAAGGGCCCTCTGGCGGGAGCGGGGGTTTTGATTAGACTGCGAGGAAGTCTTGACTCAATTGCACGGAAGGCTCAAGCGGGAGCGTCGTTCCTGAGTAAATTGTGAGGAAGTCTCAGATGGGAGCGGGGGTCCTGACGAAATTGCGAAGAAGTCACAGGCGGGAGCACCGATCCTGAGTAAATTGTGAGGAAGTCTCAGGAGCGGGGGTCCTGCGTAAATTTGGAGGAAGCCTCAGGCGGGAGCCGGTGTTGTTGTAATCCGGGGGGGCCAGGGGCCCAGTTTGAGCACCAAGACAGGGTGCGAGCGTCGAGGGGCGCACTTTTTGATTGAGAAAAAACAGTCTGCACCGGTGAGGGGGCATCAACAATAGTCATTCTTCAGAAACGAGAATGCAGGAACCGCCAGAACATGAACAACCTTGACATCCTCATCATCGCCATCATCACCAACAACAGCAAGACAAAAACGAGCCAACACTCCACAAGATCTATCCAGGTGCCTGCGCGCCCGCAGGTCGCTCCAGTGCAGCGCCCCACCCGCGGCCGCGGCCACCGCCCAGCGCGCGGGGTCGGCCGCGGCGGCGCTGAAGCGGGCGGCCCCGCCGTCCCCGAGGTCCAGGGCCAGCGCGGGCCTCGCCTGTTCGGGCGCCCGAGATGGGCGCGGAACACTGAAGGGGCCCCAGGACGCACAAATAAACACACACAAACAAGAGGATTCCCCCTATTTTCTTGTGTTTTCTGGGCTTCTGTCCTCCCCACGCTTCCCAGGTTTTCCCAGATGTTCTGGGGAATCGAGGATTAATTGTGTCTGTGTGATCTTCCTCTCCTGAAACACATGGTCGGGGATCTTCTGACCCGGGTCAATCCAGACCCGGGTCAGCAGGAAACCAAAAACTGCAATGCAGGGAAAAAAAATGCAACGCAGGTCCTCGCAAACCCGGGTCAGCCAATAGGCGCGGCCGCCTCGCGGCCACGAACGGCTCCCTAACCCGGGTCGGTCAGAGGGGGTCTTCGCAGGATCCTGCAGGATCTGGCGCCCTGGCTGACCCCCGTTTGCATTGACCCCCGTTTCCGAAAGTCCGGTGTCACCCAAACCCCTCGCCGTAACGTTTGCGCTGTCTTCGGCCTCCGGGGGTCCTTTTGCCAGGCGCCGGGGCCCTGAAGAGTAGGCTCCGGGTGGAAAAAAGCGGGCCCCAAGGCGGTGGCTCCGTGGATCTGAAAAGACGGCAGCGGCGGATCGGGAGGATGGGGAGGGGGACGGGAAGAAGGGGGCAGGCGGTGGAGGAGGAGGAGGAGGAGGAGGAGGAGGAGAGAGGAGGAGGAGGATGAGAGAGCGGGACCAGCACCAGTAAGCTCAAGGCCAGGGCAGCCTCCTTGGGCCCGGGCCAGGAGCCACCAAGAGGCGGCTCGGGATTCGGCACGTCCGAACAAGATACGATGCCTGACAGCAGATGCTGTCCAAAACCCACAGCGGCTGCTGCTGGCCCCAGCCGGCCGTCAGCCTCAAGTGGGCAGCATCCGCGGGGACACCGACAGCGAGTTCTGTTCACAATGAGCAGGAGCTGCAGACGGGCGTTTTGCTCATTCGTACCCACATCCCCAGACCCTCGACTTCATGATGTTTTCAAAACGTCGACCCCCAGAGGTCTCAAGCTATTCCACAGGACTGGCTCTTCCCGAGTCCTTTTTCGACGGGCCCGATGCCTGGCAAGGACCCACGGAGGCCGAAATCAGTAAAAAACCTCCCCGTCGTGATTCTTTTGATGACTCGCCTCCCAGCAGAGTTCCGACCGAATGGGGTCGGAGGATCACGCCGCATCGCCGACGCTTCGGGGACATCGGCGACGCGTCGGCGCCATGGGCCTGCCGAAAATCGTGCTCTCTGCCGGGCCGCATCGCTGGTGCATCGCCGATACAGCTGCGAGGCGGCACGATCCTCCGACCCCTTCTACAGGATAAGGAACGGTAAATAAGGTTGTGGATGCCATGATCATGGACACTCGGACAATCCGATCGTTGATTAAAAGATGTGCTTAAACTATGTAAAGCATGTTATACAAGTGTTTCAAACATGATTAACATATGTAATCCATGTTTGAAACATCTTTTACGCAACTGGAATGTATTTGGCAGCACGCTTCCTCTCCATTAATCGACTTCCACGAAAAATAAGAATATAGCCCCTTCTTGGCATGGAGGAAGAAAAACCACGGAAGGACCGCAGGAACAGCGATCCCCTTCCAAGCCCAAAGCGGCCCATATTTCGGCATCTTGTCTGCACTCCGACCCCATCTGGAAGGCCTAGAATCGGCGGCGAGCGAGGGGGGAAATAAACAGGAGAAGGCCTTCCAAGAAGGCGTCGGGACTTCACAAAAATCCTCGCGCAGTCTGATAGGTGTTTCTTTGTCCTCGGAGCAGGCTTCGAAAACTTCTCAGAAGGGGCCGGGGAACTTCCGAACCTTCTGAGCAGTCATTCTCCTTCTCGCTTCCCCCCCTCGCTCGCCGCCGGAAACACTTCGAACGTGGAGGAGGAGGAGGAGGAGGAGGAGGAGGAGGAGGAAGAAGGAAGAGGAGGACCTCCCCATCCCCCCTTCTCCCCCGTCCGACCTATGGTAGTGCTGGTAGAAAACAACTGGCCCACCATGGAAGGCCCAGAACTTCGAACGTACCGATCGCCAGCCGCGTGTCCCAAACGCGCGCGCGCCCGGACCCGTCCACCAGCAGCAGCGCCGGGGCGCCGTCGGCGCCCAGTGGCGCGCAGGCCACGAGGCCGCCCATGCCCACGTCGGCGGGCCGCAGCGCCGCCACGACGCCGCCCCGCGCCTCTTGGGAGAGGAGGAGGAGGAGGAGGAGGAGGTTCCGAAGGTTCCGATGACGACGAGGGGCTCCGAAAACGAGGCACCAAGCCAGAAACGCGATACATCATAAGCGCTAATTACTAAAATCAGCTACGCGAGGTGACAGGAACAGGCTTGTGAAAACCATTTCCTATCTTTTCGCCTGACGGGCCCTTCCCCTGGATAAGGTACTTCCTCTTAAAGTACCTCGGAGAACCCAGGGGAGGTCTACCCTTACAAGGTCTGGCAATCAAAAACGCTCTGCTCACACACCTCGCAGTGCAATCTACACACCAAACCATCGGGCCCGTTTTCCAGAGGCGGTGCGACTCATGAGCCATCTGGACCCCCTTAGGGGGTCCTCCACAGCTCAAGTTCACCAGGTCACACCTACGAGCACGATTCTCTCCGCACCTCGCGCAAGCCCATCGTCCTTTGTACCTACGCACTACGTGGCCATTGTCATCACTCAGAGCGAGGCCGATCGGCCTCTCAACGTACTCCTTCCGTTCCACATCAGCCCATTTTCCTCTCGAACAGCGGCGCAGGATGCGCAGCACAGTTTTCAGCGTCAACGCTGCCGCCTGCTCGCGCATGTGACGAGCACGTTCTTGAGGTAGATCTCGTGGGTGCATGGCCGCACCACACTTGGCATAGAAATCCACTTGCTTGTTGCCGTGCCAGTAGGCCAAGGGAATCTGCTGAGCCAGCGCTTGCGTCTGCGAGAGGTGCGAGGGATTCCACTCGATCTGAATTTCATCAGCACCGACATCATCAACAGCTTTCCAGAACTGAACCCAAAGCTCTGCATACTGGTGTCCAGAATGAGTGCCATAGGGATGTCCAGCTTGCCAACCAATAAAGAGCTCTTTGAAGTCAGTGACGAGGTGCAGCTGGCCCTGCGACTTGTGCAGGATGGCTTGTCGGGCTGCAAACAACTCCGCCGCACCTGAGGTCTGCCATGGAAAGGGAACAGGTCCTGATGCTGCTGCAATGACATTTCCCACCGCGTCGATCATACAAAAGGCCCATCCACCACGAGCTCGAAACTCACAATGTGGAAAGATACAGCTGCCATCCACACAAACAACTCCACTGATCAGGCCAGAAACTGTGCACACATGCCAGCGAATCGTATGGTGAGCAACTGCATCAGGAAGCTGAAACAGGGGATCAGGAAAGAGCCCTTTGCACAGCATCATAGTACACGGATGATCTTGACCATACTCATTGCGGCCCCACAACATGAGCTTCCTCTCGAAACCGCTCCAGTCTTGTCTCTCCGTGAGATGCCAATCACATCTGAAACACCTGTGCAGATCAGTCCCTTCCTCAACCCCACAAATCGCACATAGTGGGCTCTCCGTGGCCTGCACATCATGCAGTCGAACTTGATTGAAGAAACCTCCAGCCAGCCAAGTACGAAGAAGACCAGCTCCTTTGAAGTCTCCTTTCTTCCGAAGGTCGGATATCTCCTTGAGGGCCGGCTCCAAAATGGGCGGTCCAACTAAACCTTCCATCCCACGACTGCCTGGAACACCTGCTAAGAGCCGTCGTTTAGTGGATACATTGACCAGCTTCCTAAGGGTGCCGACGCCGATATCATCTAAATCAACTCGTGATCCGCGCTCAGTGAACCAAACTTTCCAACTCTCAGCTCGCCATCCCATACGACGAAGCGTCATGAGAACTGCTCCAGCAGGTCCCTTGACTGACTGCCAAGTCTTGGTGTGGTTCTGCGCGTGCATGAAGGCTAGGGCCATGGCTTTCGGTCTGACCCACTGCTCCCACTTGGCCTTCATCCAGTACGCGAGCGGGTACTCATCAGCAATGAAGGTTGGATCAGACCGAGGACAATGTGAAAGAAGAAACTCCATGGTTCTGCTCCTTCCCCTTGCTGAGCCAAACTGCGCATGACCAGAGAGGGAGCGTACTTTCTGCAGCTGGGTGTCACTCGTGCCTTGCACTTTAGCCGTGTAGCCAACTGACGCCAGACCTCCTGAGCGAAACAGCTTGCCCATCTGTCGCCCTCCTTGCGCCAGCCTGCGAAACCGTGGAACTCTCCGTCCAACTGCTGCCACTCGCCCTCGATGTGTAGGGATTCTGCCCCCTCCACCCATCCGTCGATCATGTCCGAGCTGTCGCACAACTCTAGCTCGCCGAAAGGCCCAGTCGCTTAGCGCCATCTCCACTTGCCTGGCCAACTTTGGAGTCGTCGCAATAACATGTCCTTTGTTCGGGCTCAGCTCCAAACCTATCCTGACCAGGAGCCTGCACAACATCTTGGCCGCAGCAATGATGATACGTGCAGCATCGGCCTCAGTGCCCGTAGCCTGTAGACTGCCATCGTCCACAACAACGCTGATGGTGAGCGACGGCCACAAGGTGTAGACCTGGTCGTACGCGCCCCAAGTGAAAAGGATCATCATGGTGGTGGCATCCGAGCACCCTGCGATGACGCCTTGGTTCGTGGAAGTGAATCTTGAAGCGATCTTCCCAAACTTGAGGCATCTTTGACCAGCATACGTCTTGATGAGCATCGCCAAGCGCCTTTTGGGAAACTTGTGCCTGCAGCCAATCTCCCACAATAAGGCATGCGATATCTTCTCGAAGGCTTTCTTCAAATCAAGCATCACAGTGACCGTGTGTCTCATCAATGCTCGTCCCGCTTCTGCCATGACTGACTGAGTCCACACCGCGCGCTCCGAACTGCGCCCTGCCGTGGCGTAGTGGTAAGGCCGAGCATACTCTTGAAGCCACCGCCGTTGGACAGGTCTTCTGCATCTGTTGTAGACTCGGAGCGTGTCGGTCATAAGGCCGATCAACCTGTGACCACCTTCAGGCTTGGGTAAACGCGGGAGTACTGTATTCTTCATCTGCTTGGGAACCTCCGCAATACGTTCCGCTACCTCCATAACAGAACTGAAAGCTTGCAAGCAGTCGTCGGATAACAGCGCCATATTCCTGGGCCCAAGGTTGTCGATGCCCGAGACCGTCTTCACTTTGAACGAAAGCGCTGCCTTGCGAATCTGCTCAACTTCCAGAGGTTCCATTTGATCATCCATCTGAAGTTGGGATAAATGTAGGCCGGCTCCAAAAGAGCTTGCTGCAGGATCATGATTCCATATCTTAAGCCACTGCTGCAGGTCCGCGTCGAGTGTAGTAGCATGTGACTTGATGCCCGTGGCAGGATGAACTTCTGCTTGCGTCCACAAAGTTGGTAGCTTACTCCATCTGTGTGCCTTCGACTGCTCCTGCTCGATGGACTTAGCTACCGCCTGCCGCCACTCCTTGACCCGCTGCTTTGAGTACAGCTGCTCGAGCTTGGTGGCTTCCTGCGCTGCAAACCAACTGCAATCCCGTATCCATTCATCCTCCCAACTCCATTCATAGTCGAGTCGGTACCAAAGGACAAACCAGGAACTGCCCATGTCCAAGCTCTTGCGTCTCAACTTGCGAAGGGTCTGAAGCCGCTGCTGAATGAATTGCGAGTCCAGCTCCCACTCCCTCTTGAGCGCATGAAGAAGGTCCTGGAATGCCATGGCCGCCCTTCTCCAATTCCGTGAGATGGGGTCTCCTTCAGCGCCTCTACCTGGTGCTTTGCGAGCCGCTGCCACCAGCTTGAACTGAGGCACATGTAGCTCACCCCGTCCAGCTGCAGCACGTCGCTTGTTGTCAGGAAGGTGATACCGATCTGCCAACTCCGCCTCAGCCATCTGAGCCCACGTCTGAAAGCACCAGTCGAGGTCCTGAGCTTCACGTGCATGATGGCACTCATCATGTACTTGGTCGTACGATGGAGGTGGACGTGGAGCGCCAAGCGGACAATCGTTGGGAAACTTCCGCGGCATCACGATCTGCTGCTCCATGGCCGCGCCAGGTCCTGCTTCTAGCTCAAGCAAAACTCCCCAATGCGTTGCTAGGCTGAGGCCCTCCAGTCGTCGCACTCCCGTGATCAAGCTCTTGAAATGCTTGGAGACCACAAAGAAATCTATAGTTCGTCCACGTCCTGCTGAGCACGTCCACTCAAACGGAGCTGCTATGGTAGCTGGCATGTCATTCAAAACATTGAGCTCCTCCAGGTCGAGCGGACTCATGTTCCAATCACCTCCAATGACGAAAGGGCGTCCCAGTCTCTTGAGCTGCTCAAAACATTGCAGGATGATCTGCCTATTGTTGTCCTCCACGTCTTTGTGCTGATTACCTGAGATGAGGTAGATCGAGGCCAGAATGAAGCCACCAGGGAGCATGCCATCGATCCACTGTGTTGTCCATCTTGAGGTCGGGGGTGTAACGCCACCCATGTCAGGTGGAGCTGCTGAGCCGATATCTTGTCGAACTCCGACTGCCACTCCTGACGATGCTGATGTGGCGGTGGTGCCCGGCTTGGCTGGGGGGATGTGGAAGTGCCAGCCCTGATGCTTCAGCCTCACCACAGTGTCCCCCACCGCTGGTTTGAGCAGCTTGTGCTCCTGGATGAGCAGGGCATCAGCATCGACCTCGATCTCTACCACCTCCGCTGCGATCTTGGACAACTTCGCCGCCTCCTTCTGCGCTGAGGTAATGTTGGCAGTGACAATCCTCCACGTGCGCACCTTTGTAGTCACCACCTCCTCTGGTCGGGCCTGACTGGGGAGGCCGACACCACAGTTGCGGCAGGTCCGCTCAGCACTCAAGGCGTCGCTTTGATTCTGCGCCGACGCCAAGTTTTGCTGAGCTGCAGTCCGCACTGGCATACCTCCCTTGGGAGGCGACGAGGTGTTCCCAAACGGGCCTGTGCCCCAAGACGCGGGGCCCGAGGGTTCATGGTCGTCGGCGGCACGAGGGGCACACTCCCCGACGCCAATCCCCCCAGGGCCCCCGTCAGCCTCTTGAGGCTGAGTCTGGCGAAGCGACCCAACCTGCTCAAGACTCCCCAAGACAGCACCTCGGGGGTTCGGGAGCTTCTCTGGCTTGGATTCTATATTAGAACCACCACTCTGAGATAGCACCAGAGTATCTGCATGCAGCTGTGCAGCTCGTGGTGCAGGTGGTCCAGCTGGATCCTCAGGGTCAGCTTCATCATCTTCATCTTGTTGGTCCTCAGTTTTGACCCCAGCATCGTCCTCAGTTTTGACCCCAGCATCGTGTTGGCCATCTTCGCTTGGGAGTTCAACTGTTGGCCGATACCGAGCCGCATCAATAGGCGGGGCCCGACTCTCACGTATCTCTCGGCGAAATAGACGTTGAATATCTCCCAGCTGCTGCCAGTGTAGAGCTATGACCCTGTCCCATTCGTTGAACATGTCCTGCGACTCCAGCCAGTCCAGGTACTCAAGGAAGTTGGCTCTGTTATTGCTAGACTGCACCCATGCCATGTAACAATAATTGCGAGCAACTTGGCTGAGGTGAGCCTCATCCCGAAAATCTGCAGGTGATTGCTGCCTGAGCTTCACAACTGCGTACTGCCCGCACATGTCCATCCACTCCTCATATCCTGAGGAATCTGAAGCAAGTGAGGGAACCCATCTGCATGCTGCTGACATCAGTCCTTCGCGAAAGATGTACTGTGGCGTGTCAGGATCCACGGGCGGTGGCTTGCCCATCGCACACGGCTCCCCTGACACCCAAACGATGCCGTCGTAGATGTTGAGCGAACAGATAAGAGCTCCAAACAACTCTGCATTCTGCTCTGAAACAGCACCGTCAACCACACCACTGCCAGAAACTGCACGTATCTGCATGGCTGACTGTGGTACCAAAGAAGGGATGGCCGTCGAACTCCCAACTGCCGCTCTGAGTGAAAACGCCACTGTCGAGCCGAGCGAATTGAGGCAGTCCAACAGCTGAAGCGCCTGGTACCTCTGCGAAGGTGGAGCCGACAACAGCGGCGCCATCTGCTGGAGCGTGAGCTGCGTCTGGCTCACTATCTGCTGGAAGTGGCCCCAGCTGCCAGCTTTCGCAAAGCCCTCAGTGGGTGTCTGCTGCAGCAGCTGGGGCCACGACCCTGCGCCGCTTGGCCTTCTCAGCAGCTGAGGCCAGCTGCTGGCGAATCCTCTTGCGGGCTTCGTTGATGCGCTGGATCTCGGCGACGTCGTCAACCCCGTCCAGCTTGAGGCCCTGCTCGTTGTACAGGTCCTCCAGGTCCTCGTCCTCGGGCACTGGGATGTCAAGCTCGGGTCCAGCACCCATGCCGACATCACCTGCACCACTGCCGCCGCCGTCACCAGGAGGAGCGGTAGGCTGCTCAGCCTGAGCGCTCTCCTGCTGGGCCCTCCTCTTCTCGGCCTCCTGCTTTTGGTACTGCTCCAGCGCCTGCTGAAGAGCCTGCATGGGCCCTCGCAAAGGCTCAGGAACTTCGCTGTCGCTGCCTGCCAGCTGAAGCTCTGCGAATCGTCCACAAAGCTGCAGGGCTGGATTGGCTGCACCACTGGCCTGCTCCTTGAGGAAGGCGTCGGACTTCGCCTTCTCGAGCTGCTGCTTTTTGTGCTTGTGATTCTCCAGAATCTGCTTCTCTGCGTCACGACTTGCCAGGGCGCGCTGGTACTCCTCCTCGCGCTCCTTGAGCCGCTCCTCAGACTTCTGAAGCTTTTTGTTAGTGTCTTCCAGCCTCTGGCCCAGCTGGAACGAAGTGAGCTTTGTGATGTCGACGGGCTGGTCGGACGCCTTGACAGACATCGCCTTGTCCCACTGCACCACCATGCTCTTCGCCTGCTCTGGCCAGAGCTTCCGATCATCTCCGTGTGCCTTGACCATGGTCTCAAGCATCGCTTTCGCCGTTGCCTGATCGACCATAGGTTGAGCAGCAGGGGCTGGCGAGGCCTGGGTCTGGCTGATGGAGCCTGCCCAGAGAGAGGCTGGCGGTCCGTCCGCCCACCTGTTCTTCGCCTTCTGCCAAGGGGGCTGGCTCTTGCCTCCACCCGCTGCTCCCTGATTCTGCTTTCTCTGCTTCTCCAGCACTCCTTTTGGCGCCTGCTTGCCGCAGCGCAGGCAGTGGGTGCGGTGGGCATAGTTGGCGAACGCTGTGCCATACACCCTCGCGCAGTTCCCACAAGGCCAAGAAGGGTGCCTTGCCGCCATCCGTGGCCCGCCCGAGCGAGCCGCGTCGAAGTACACTCGGGCAAGCCCAGTGCGCCTGGGCCGACACGGCTAGGAGGAGGAGGAGGAGGAGGAGGAGGAGGGGGAGGAGGAGGGGGACGCCGACCCCAAACCCCACCCACAGTGTAGTGAAGAAATCACCACGGGAAATCTGTCCACACGTTCGGCCTCCAGGGGCTCCTACTGGGCCTCGGAACCGACTAAAAGCTGCTCGGAAGGAACAATCGGTCCCGGGGCATGGGTCGAGACCTCTCTGGGCGTCGACGTCATTTCCGCAGGTCGATGATTGTTTCCACCGCTTGGGCTCGAGAGGCCACGCAGGTACCCGCGGTGACGCTCGAGCCTACACCCTGCGAAATGCTTAAGAAATCATGGGTTAAGAAATTCGTAGTCTCAGAAATTGGCTAAAAACCCAGAATGTGTATTCAAATCTTAGGATTCACACTGAAGCATTAAGAATCATCGAGACTCTGGCCGAAAACTTGGGTTTTCTTGAGCATCGTGTAGAGTGTACTCTCCACTGTTCTGGGGGGGGACGTGTGGCACGTGTGGATGTGTGCGCGCTGTGACGCTCGATCTGCCCCAACGTTACATGGGAGGCAGGAGCTGCTGGCCAGCGCCACCCCCGCCTGAGGAAGCGTTTTTTCAACATGGGATTATCCTCCTCCTCCTCCTCCTCCTCCTCCTCCTCCCCCTCTTCCTCCTCCTCCTCCTCCTCCTCCTCCTCCTTCAACATGGGATTATGCAAGGGCTCCCAACTTCGCGCTTCGCGCTGCGCGAAGCGCGAAGCGCGAATAACTTCGCGCTCTCGCGCCGCCCTCCCAAAGGGAGAATAGGAGGACGAGGAGGAGGGGGGAGAAGGAACGAGGACCGCGAAGCGCGAAGCGAGAATAACTTCGCGCCCTCGAGGGAGCCCTTGGTCATGGGAGCGGGCAGGGCCCGCAGGGGCAGTCGGGCCGACGGCTGCCGTGAGGGTGCTGCAGAGGCGGGCGAAGGCCCGCGGTGGCGCTCGAGCTGGTGGTGATGATGGTGACAGTGACGACGATGATGACGATGACGGTGCGAGGAAGCCCCAACCCCGTAGAATCATGGCATCATGCTTCACGTGCAGCGCCTCGTGGCTCCCGCTCCCCTTTGGGTGCAGGATGTTCGGCATCTCATGATACAACTGCTCCACTTCAGTACGTGGATCCACTGGCCATGTTTTTCCTGGAAATTGGATCCGCCGAGCACACAAGTAGGGTCATGTGGTTTCTACATGCCCGTACTGCAAGAAGAAAAAGAAGGCTCGGTTTGGGTGGCATGGGGACGCACGACAAGTCATGACGCCGATGATATTGGACAGGTGAGCAACGAAAAAACAGGCCTTTCGCCAGAAAGCATTGCGACATTACGCCACGGCTTGAGCGAGCCGCCAACTTGGCCGTGGCACACCGCGTGAAAGGAAAGGGCGTTTGCGCGCGGCGCTTCGCGGGAAGCTTACGCCGCGAGTGTCGGCGCTGTCGACCCTGTTTTCTTGTATCGCTCAGGGGTCGATGCCGCTGCTCCCCGGAGCTCTCCCGGGGCACGTTTTGACGAGAGCGTCGAGGCGAATGCTCCCGCGGCGACGAGGGCATCCCAGGAGGCCCACAAAAACTAGGGAAAACGAGGCAAGAGCCCCGAGATCCGACGCCGGAAAGAAATGCGCGAGACGAGCCTTCGACCCTGTCTGTCTGCGTCAGTGTCCGCAACGGATCGATCTGTGATGGCCCCAGGGCCTGAAACGGGGCGAACTTACCAGCCTGGAACATATCCCTCTCCCTATGCTGGGCACCTCCTCATCACGATGCCAATCTTAGGGATTCCCTTGTTTTTTGAGGGCGAATCCCTAAGATTGTCATCGCCTTTTGGCGTGTCAATCTTAGGGATAGGGGTACGTTCGAGGCTGGTAACGAACTGCAGAGTGCGAAAAAACTGAAACGCCAACGCCTCAGGGAGGGTAGCGACATCCGTACCTTAAGACGCTCCGCCTGGGGACCTTCCTGGAGCCAAGCGCGCCACGCGTGCGTCGAAGTTGCGTCGAACGTCCGTCGACTCGACCCAAACTCGGGTCGAATCCGAATCGAACCTGAGTCGAACCTGCATCGAACCAGAATCGAACTGGCGTCGAGCAAGAGCCGAACTTGCGTCGAACAGATCCGTTGAAGGTGGGCCCCAGAAGGCCCCCAGTCGTGGATTTGGGGATGTACGGGCCTTTGGGCCAGGACGCCCCCGTTGGTTCATTGAGGCCTCGGCTAGCCTGTGAAGGCGGCCGAGTTCCTATAACTTTAAGATTGTTGAAACATCTACTTACATCCGTACGCAATCGACGCAACGAGAACAGGCGGCAAAAGAGGAGGAAGGAAGGAAACGCACAACTCCCTTTTCTGCGGACCCGCCTCGATCGACAAGAATGAAGCAAAAACGAACCGAATCCTCACCTCGCTCCTCGGGAGGACGAGTGAGGGAAGGCAAGAGAGGAGCGGGAGGGGGCCAAGGAGGGATCCGAGGGCCCCCGACACCCACGCGAGTCTACCGCTCCAAGCACTATGCGCTTGGACGTCGAGGGACACAACACAGAACGAGCACCTCAGGTACGCCCTCCTCCTCTGAGCCTCGGCGTCCAGCAGCGCCGCGCCCAGCTCCGCGCCGGCGCAGCAAACGGCGAGCTGGTGCGCCGACAGGAAGCTCGGCTACACGCAAGAGCGGCCCAGGGCAAGCGTGCCCTCTGGTGCGCGGATGGCGAGCCACCGTGCACGAGGCGACCCTGGCGACTTGCGTGCTTGGGCTTCGTCGGGCGTGTCCCTCTGTAGGAGGAATATTCAAAAATAGTGAAACATCAGTCCGGGGACGATTTTATAAGATGTGTTTGGCATGTGTTGCTTATTGTTGGGGTTACCTTCTATCTGTCGTCCAAAATCCGCCTGTAGGAGGACACGCCCGACCTGACGCTTGGGCTTGGCCCCCCCGAAGCGCGTCCCGAAGACCGCGCACCCAAGGCCACGCCGGCGGGGGGCCGCTCCCGGGCGCAGCCGACAAGTGCAGGCCCACGAAGGCCGGGGCGTCGGCCGCGCCGCCGGCCCGCGGCGGCGCGGCGCGGTGCAGCTTCTGGGGCATCTGCTCGGGGTCGTCGACGGAATACAGGCTCACCTCAGGTCGGCGGCGCGCCGTGGTGGCCACGCGAGAGGGAGGGTGCTCAGCAGCAGAAGGACCCCCAAGCTCCTTCGGGGAGGGAAGCATTCGGGACAGGGGGGCCTTTCGGCAGGTAGACCAAGCCAAACCGCCCAGGCTTAAGATCCCGAGTGCAAAGACGGGGACCTCAGTGAGGCCACGTCTTCACTATGTTACGGATTCGGGTTAAGGCTTCGAGGATCCTCGATGACAGAAGGCCTTCTGAGAAGGCGGCGGGGCTTCCCAGAAGCACTGGCGCCTCCTGAAAGGTTTCTTGGCTCTTCGGGGAAGGCTTAGAGAATTTCTCAGAAGGCCACAGGCCTTTCGAGCCTTATGAGAGGGCCCGTCCCCTCTCACTGCCCCCCGGGCGCATTGCAAAGTTTTCACACTGGGCGTTTACGCCGAGTTTCGGGCCCCGGGATTCCCACAGATCGAGGCGGTTCGAAACATGGCGCGGGAAGATGGGGTCCCAGTCACCTGTGGCGTTTTTGTGAAATGTACCATTTTTGTTTGCAGCGGCAAAGCTGGAGGGAGGCACAGAAAACGCAAGCCTGCAGAATAATGAATACGGAACGCGCCTGAGCATAAACCTTCGGAGCTCCGTGCAGACTTCCTGGACCCCGCGCAGGTCAAAAAAATCCGCGCGGGAACTCTGGAAGCGTATGTTTACGCAATTGTTCCGAAATTAATAGCCGAACCTCTTTTAGCACAGCGCGCTGCCAAGGACACTCCGGCACCGCTTCCGGCGCGCACCACAGCGGGGCAGCAAATCGATGTCGAAAAACAACCGAAAATATCTGGCAAGACGAACGTCGATTAGCGAAAACGGCTGGGGACTGCACTGGCCACTACGGCCGCGGATGGAAGGACCCTAGCCTGCAGGAAGCGCCTACTTTGGGGATGCGCCCTCAAAAACTGAATTCCTCAGATCGGGAGGGTGCGCCGCTGGATCTCCCCCGATCCGTCGTCGGGGACCCCCCCCCCGCCCACCCTTTCAAAAGGGAGGGGGGGTTCCGAACCCCCCCCCTCCCCCCCTGTCGCCACGCCGCCCCCTGACTCCGGAACCCGACCCCCGCCACCCCTACCCCTAGTCCTCACCCCAACCCAAACCCTTAATCCGAACCACAACCACCAACCCCAGCCCCAAAGAGTACTCACTACTCTTACTCACTACCCACTACTGACCATTCGCTATTCGCTGCTCACTTCTCACTACCCCCTACTCACTACTCACGACCCACTACTCACTATCCACTACTCACTACCCACCACCCACCAATCGCTACTCACTACTCCCTACTCACTACCCCCTCCTCCCTACTCACTACTCACTACTCACTCCTCACTACCCAGTACTCAATATTCACTACTCACTAAGCACTATTCACTATTCCCTACTCACTACTCACTAATCACTACTCATTACCCACCACCCACTATCCACTACCCACTACTGACTACTAACTACTCATGGCCCACAAATCACCATTCACTACCCACCACTCGCCACTCGCTACTCCCTACTCCCTACACAATACTGAGTACCCAACACTCAGTACTCACTACTCGCTACTCCCATACTCGCTACTCAATACTCATTACCCACTCCCCGCTATTCAGAACTCACTACTCACAACTTACTACTCCCTACTGACTCGTCCCTACATAGTCTCTAGTCACTAGTCACAATTCACTAGTCACTAGTCACTACCCACTACCAACTACTCACCAATCGCTACTCACTACCCACTATTCGCTACCCACTTCTTACTACTCGATGCTCAATACTCCCTACTCCCTACTCCCTACTCGCTACTCACTACCCAGTACTCAATACACACTACTCACTACTCACTACTCCCTACTCGTTACTCATTAATCACTACCCACTACTCACTACTGACTACTCTCTACTCATTACTCACTACTCACTACGCCCTACTCGCTCCTCACTACTCATTATTCGTTACTCCCTACTCGCTATTCACACATCACTACCCACTGCCACTACACACTACTCGTTATTCATCACTACTCACTACTCACTACTCACTACTCACTACGCACTACGTACTACTCAGTACTCAGTACTCAGTACTCACTACTCACTACTCAGTACAGACTATTCGCTACTCACTACTCACTACTCACTACTCACTACTCACTACGCACTACGCACTACCCACTACTCACTACTCACTAATCACTACTCGCCACCTACTACTCACTACCCACTACTCACTTCCCACTACTCATTACTCCCTACTCCCTACTAAGTACTCACTACTCGCTACTCGCTACTCACTACTCACTACTCACTACTCGCCCATCACTACTTACGTATCCGTATCAGTACACACTACTCACGATTCACTACTCACTACTCCCCACTCCCTAATCCCTACTCCGTACCCGCCACTCACAACCCAGTACTCACTACCCAATACTCACTATTCACTACGCACTAACTCACCAGTCACTACTCACCACTCCCTACTCCCAACTCCGTACTCCCTACACGAGGGGGGGGGGGTCCGACCCCCCCCCCCTTTCCAGCGCCAAGGGGGGGGGGGGGGGGTCCGGACCCCCCCCCCCCTTGAAGGGGGGAAGGGGGGGGGTCTGGGACCCCCCCCCCCCCTTTGTGTATTCAGGGAGATCCACTGGCTCACTTTCTGAGATCGGCATCGAAATATGGCGATGCCAGTCACAGGGACAGACATACACTGCAGCCTGAACTAACTGGGGCAGATGCCCTCAGTCGACTTGCCTGGAGGGGGCGTGTTTGGAGGCCTCCTAGACGGGGTCCGAACGGACGGGGTCGGACCATTACACCGCATCGCCGCTGCATCGCCGATGCATTGGCGATGCGTCGGCGATGCGTCGGCGGTGTCGGCGCAAAGACAACCGGGTTCTACATCGGGCCGCATCGCCGGTGCATCGGCGATGCATCGGCGATGCGGCTCGACCCTCCGACCCCATCTACCCGGGCCCCAGATGGGAGGCTAAAGGTTCACTTTTCGTCAAAAGACCAGCACGAGAGGGGGGGGGGGAGGAGAAGGAGGAGGAGGAGAAGGAAGAGGAGGAGGGGAGGATGAGGCGGAGGAGGAGGAGGGAGGGGAGGAGGAGGAGGAGGAGGAGGGAGGAGGAGGAGGAGGAGGAGGAGGAGGGGGGGAGAAGAAAGAGGAGGAGGAGGAGGCGGAGGAGGAGGAGTGGGAAGGGGAGAAAGAAAACAGCGATAGCTAAGGGAGGGGAGAGGAAGGGGGGAGGGGGAGGAGGAGGAGGAGGAGGAGGAGGAGGAGGAGGAGGAGGAGGAGGAGGAGGAAGAGGAGGAGGAGGAGGAGGAGGAGGAGGAGGAGGAGGAGGAGGAAGGGAAGCAGGAGGACGAGGAGGAGGCGGCGGCGGCGGCGGCGGAGGAGGAGGAAGAGGAGGATCGTGGCCGAAGACGTCCGCTCCTGACTGTACTGCTATCCCTCCCCACTCGCCTCCACCATGACCCTGTCGAGGTGGGCGCGGGACAGGAGATGCCTGTATCGTCCCCTTTGCGGGGAGACGAGTGGCCAGCCGAACGGCACCTATGGTCTCTGCCGCGCGGACAGCAGAGAGGGGAAACGATGGTATAACGCGACAACGAACGCGAAGGAGCCCCCGCGGAGGCCGAGGGTGAACAGAGGATCAGATGGGAAGAAGGGAATGGAGAGACATGGACGCAGCCCATTGGATGCGGACGCACTCAAGGACATAGCGGGAGATGGCATGAAAAAAATCGTGCGGGCAGCCGAACACACACAAGAGTGGGACGGCATTGATCCAACAACCAAGCCAATTACGGATTGCGATGAGGCTCCATGCCATCGGGGCAATAGTCAACTGGGCTTGAAATTCAACTATATTGCCAAACTCGAAATCAGGACAGAAGTGCTTCGTCACCCTTGTCCTGATCCGACACGCGAGGCTCCCACTGGCAAAGAATGCTCGGTCGCAACTCCCATGGAACACACCCTGCAACCTGGGACGCCGACGCTCAACCCTGGGAACGCCCGCGCGGAAAAGGCCGAGCGCCTCGACACCGCCTCTCCGCAAGGCACAGGCATCTCTGCGAGCCACACACGCTGGCCGAGCCACCCGGCGCCTGGCACCTGCCGGAGAGGGAGGCGGAGGCCACGGGAACCCGAGAGAAGCATGCTCTACGTCCAGGCGATCGAAGGTGATTCCCAAAAGTTGGGGCGAGCCTGTCACCAACCCACCACGCAGCAGGTCCCCATTCAACAATCGCCCGACGCAACCTCCCTTTCTGGACTTGCCACTTGTTAAGGGTGAGGAGAGCCGAACGCATGAGGGAGGCAGAACAAAGAGACAGGGCACTTTTTGTCTGGGGACCACCCCATTCAGACAACTGCAGCCACTCTCCGTGGCCCATGCTACTGCTCGGTGCACGCCAGAGCCGTGCGAACAGATGCCTCTCGGAAACTGCGAGCCGCCTCGGGAGAGGGAAGAGCTGGGCCTTGTACCCCAAAACAGGGAGCCCACGCTCAAGGTAACGGGAGACATTCTTAGAGGACGCTCCACTCGTGCCGATGAGGGCCACTCGCTCTTTGAGCTTGGCCATGAGAGGTCCCCATTGCTCAAGCAGGGTGCTGCTGGGCCCAAGGCGGACTTCAAGGTACGGGAGATCGCCTACTATCTGAAACTCGCTCCAAGCCGACTCGGCTCTAGAGAGGACCCTCCCAACAGCCTCCGAAGCACATGGATCTGACAACGGAGCTCCGAGGGAAACGGCCATGCACTTAGACACCTTCAACATCAAATCTGCTAGCTTCGATGCAAGACTGAAGACCCGAGCAAGCAGGAGGAGGAGGAGGAGGAGGAGGAGGAGGAGGAGAAGGAGGAGGAGGAGGGGGGAGGGGCAGGGGAGAAAGAGTACACCTAGGAGGCCTAGAGGCTGGCCGGCGCCCGGGAGTGTTCGGGTGTTCTGCTCCTCGACACCTGGCCGTCGGCCGCCCCCACGGCCAGGTGCCCCCCCTCAGGGGCGACGGCCAGCGCCTCCAGGCCCTTCCCCCGCGTCCGCACGGGCGGCAGCCTGGCCAGGTGGCTGCTGAACAGGCGCACCTCTGGGGAAACGAACAGGCACCGAAAGCGCTGCTCCCTGGACCTCTCACTGGGTGCGTTCCAGCCAGGAATTCGAGGCGAATCCAGCGGTGGCGACGACGAGGAGGCCCCCCAAAAAAGGAGAACGAGGGGAGGGTAGCGGTGTCGGTACCTTTTCCTCCTCTGAACCTCCGTGTCCCGGAAGGGCACCGCCGCCACCATGTCTCGGGGGCCCCCAAGCCCGCGTGGTGACTGGAAGGAGAAAAAGCAGCGTAAACATAAACTGTTGGCGCTCCGCGCGGATTTCTTGGGTCCGCCCCGGAGCCCCCTCCCTGGCGCGCGGAGCGCGCCAAGGGCGGCGCCGGAGGCGCCGCCGGGGGCGCCCCAGCGCGGTTCCAAGAAATCTGCGCGGAGCGCCGAAGAGTGATGTTTATGGTGAATTTTCTCTTGCAAATGACGGACGTACCGCGTGGCGATCCCGGAATACCCCGCGACCTCACCGCGCGGCCCGTCGCCGCACGGCCGAATCTTGGGGCCCTGGGAGGGCCCCAGCCTCCCGAGATGCGTCCTCGGAGAATGGCCCTATAGTCCCCAAAAACTGTGCGGTGATTCCGCATCGCCCCCGTCTCACTTCATGTTGTTCCCATCGTACTTCAAGACTGCATCCCAGAAATAAGTTCGAGCACCCGGAAGAGTATCGACAAGGTCTGTCCGACACGCTGGCGAAGTGCCGAACGAGCATCGCCCCCACGGGCCTGGCACGCGAAAACCCTACAGCTTCGGTGCTTTCCTGGTGCTCGAGATTATTTTTGGTAGTCAGGGCTAAAGTAGGCTGGAACATCATACAGTGGAGGCAAGTCTACAAGAAACTTTCGACAAGAAACCCAACCCTGAGACCCCAGGACGCCCACGGATTTTCGGTGCAGGAACGTCGCGCAGTCCACCGCTAAACCACAGAAACCCAAGAAACCCTAGGCAACGTGGATGACGAACCAACAACACACACACACCCATACCCATAGGGGGATCGGAGAGGGCTATGGGTGCGTGTTGTCGGATGGGGGTCCCCGCTCGAACGGGAGCGTTCCCCAGGGTCCGACAACCCGCACCCATACCCATAGCCAGTCCTCCTCCCAACGACCCCCCTATGGGTATGGGGGTGTGTGTGTTGTTCGTTCGTCACTGGGGGCAAGCAGGATGTTTCTCGGCAAGGGTCTCCACTGGAAGTCCCGCCGCGCGGCGTGGCCACCGCACCGCGATGGGGGGCCCCCGAGATGTCCGCCGACGCGGACAGCACGGCGGCCGGGCACCCCGGCGTGGCCTGCTCCCGGACCAGCCGCAGCCGCGGGTCCCTCGCCCCCCGCGCCTCCGGGAGAGCCCAGGATTGGGTCGGGCATGTCCTCCTACGGGTGGATGTTGGACGAAACATCACGAATCGAATAGGCAAGAAAAAGCTCAGACATGGTCAAAAGATAGTGGAAAAGTCATCCCCGGACTATTGTTTGGCGATTTTTGAACATTCTTCCTGTAGTGGGACACGCCCGACTTAAGCCAAGGATCGAACCTCCTCGCCACATCAGAGCTCGAGAGGAGTCGGACCGGCGGGCCTCGGCAGCCGAGTCGGGAGAATTCGCCTCGGCGGCACTCGGCAGGCTATAGCAGGCCTCCGCTGAGACATCAGAGCCCAGATCGGAGTTCGAAGCCCGGAGGTCTCCGGGAGAAGTCACCTCGGCGGAAATCGGCAGGCTATGGTAGGCCTCCATGGAGACATCGGCGCCCAGATCGGAATCCGAAGCCCTGAGCGCCCCTCTATAGCGGGGACTCCATTGACGGGCACTCTTGAAGGGGAATTGGGACACACAAATAAATACACACAAATAAAAATATCCCCCATATTTTCCTATATTTTCTGGGTTTTTGTCTTCCCCCCCACTTCCCATATTTTCCCATATTTTCTGGGAATCGCCGATTAATTGTGTCTGTGTGTTTTTTCCCCTCCTGAACTTTGGCCGGTGGCCCGGCGAACCCAACCCTGGCCGACCTGGGCAGCGCTGCAATGCCAGGAAGAGGCCCTGAAGAGGCAACTGTCGGCAGCCTTCCAAAGCACCCGTGAGTGAGTACAGTGGAGACCCATGCCAAGAAACGCCCTGCTTGCCTCCAGGGTGCCATGGGCTTCGTGGGTGTCGATGGTGTTGCGACGGAAGGCGTGACGTCCCCGCACCAAACACCGGTGGACGTCCCCGAGTCTCAGTGTCGGGTTTCATGCGGATTCTTGTGGACTGGCCTCCACTGTACCCGTTTCGGCGACATGCAAGAGTGACCCTGAGTAAGAGTGACCTTTGGTGCGCGGCTTTTTGGGGGCCGCGAGGGGACCAAACCTGGGCGCGCAAGCCGATGCTCCTGCTTCGTTTTCAGCCATCTGGGGACCCATCTGTGCCCGCACCAAAGGTCACTCCGGCGAGAAGTCACTCTTACGTCTAGTCGACCGTTACGGTGCCGCCGAAGCCCTGAGGCCTCCGCCTCGCCGGCGCCGACCAGCGCCCAGAGGCCCTCCGCCTCGTCCGCGGCGCCGACGGCGCCGAGGAAGCAGCGCAGCCCGCCGCCCGGGGCCTCCGCGGCGGCCGCCTCCGCCGCGGCCGCGCCCGCCTCCCCGGGCGGCCACAGCTCGCGGGCGACGGCGCGCCAGAGCCCATCCTGGATGAAGAACAAACGACATAAGCATAGGCATCGAATTCGCTTGGCGCTCCGCGCGGATTTCTTGGATCTGCGCTGGGACCCCCCTCACTCCTCCTCCTCCTCCTCCTCCTCCTCCTCTTCTCCTCCTCCTTCTCCCCCCCCCCTCCTCCTCCTCCTCCTCCTCCTCCTCCTCCTCCTCCTCGAGCGCCGAAAGTTGATGCTTTTATGACGTTTTTTTTGTTCCTCCGCAGTCCTCTCCGAGCTCGCCGCGCCGGAGGCAGGAGCTGCTGGCCAGCGCCACCCCCGCCTGAGGAAGCGTTTTTTCAACATGGGACTATGGCGACCCAGCCTCCTCCTCCTCCTCCTCCTCCTCCTCCTCCTCCTCCTCCTCCTCCTCCTCCTCCTCCTGGGATTATGCTAGGGCTCCCAGCTTCGCGCTCTCGCGCTGCGCGAAGCGCGAAGTGCGAATAACTTCGCGCTCTCGCGCCGCCTCCCAGGGGAGAAGAGGAGGAAGAGGAGGAATCGGAGCCGAACCGCGAAGCGCGAAGCGCGAATAACTTCGCGCCCTCGAGGGCGCCCTTGATTATGGCGACCCCTGTCCCAGGCTTCGTGAAGTTTTCGAGCGGACCCGGATTCTTGGGCCTGGGATGTACGACGGGGGGGCGTCCATTCTCGATGGGGGTGCGTCCGAATAGCCCCCCTGGGGGTGCACCTCATGGTTTACCCCTTTTTCAGAGACGCAACTTCTCGGACGGCACTCGGGGATTGGGGTAGAAACATCGCCTGCAATTGTTGCTCCTCTGCAGGCCAGTGGGCAGGAGCGAGGAGCTGCAGTTGGCTAATGCATATGTATACCTATACATGAAAATATACAACTGCATATGCAAATTACATAACCATACATGCATGCACACGTATCTGCACACACGTGCATACATACGTACGTACGTACATACATACATACATATATACATGCACACCTACACACATACATACATACATACATACATACATACATACATACATACATACATACATACATACATACATACATGCATGCATGCATGCATGCATGCATGCATGCATGCATGCATACATACATACATACATACATACACACATACATACATTCATCCATCCATGCATGCATGCATGCATGCATGCATACATACATGCATACGTACATACATGTGCATATACACATACATACATACAAACATATATACATACATACATGCATGCATGTATACATACACACATACATACATACATGCATACATGCATGCATACATACATGCATACATACGTATACACATACATAAATACATACATACGTACATACATACATATACACATACATACATGCATGCATGCATGCATACAGGCATGCATACATACATACATCCATACATACATACATGCATACATACATACATACATACATACATATAAACATGCATGCATGCATGCGTACATACATACATAAATGCATGCATAGTCATACGTACATGCATCTATACATATATATATATATATGTATCCATATATATATACACACATACATGTGTACATCTGCATATATATGCGTACATATATGCATCATGCATGCATGCATGCATGCATACATACATGCATGTGCGCATGCATGCATGCAGACATATACATACACATACTCACACTAGAACCATCGCGCGCGCATCGCACGCGCTGAAGTTCTAGCTAGGCTCGACTGACTAACGTATGAAATATCAATTGTTGAAGTGCCGTGTGCATCGAACGACCCTCTTGGAGTCCCTGCACAAGAATCGGAAGCGTCTAGAAGGGGAAATGCGGAAACCAAAACATCATAAGTTTCCTTTTGATGTTCGTTGATTCTGGGCCCTCGAAGGCTTCCTGTGATCTTTCTTCCGTGGTGACGGGGGCCTCCATTATGGTCTGTTGTGCAAAAATAAGCAGGGGTGAGTTTGAACAACGGGAATTATTGGATTTGTTGTTCTAATTGCCATGCCTGGGCCGTGGGTCAGAACTTTCCCGGATACAGGCCATGGACTGTTGGGACGCCTCTGGGGGACTTTGGGCGGCTTCTTGGGAGTTGTTCGGGGCCTCTTGGGAAGCTCTTGGTGCCTCCTGGGAGCCTCCCGGGAAGTTTCTGACGGCATCTGGGGGGCGCCTCGAGAGCCTTTTGCGACAACCTTGGGGCCATCTTGATGCAAAGCGCGAACCTTTCCTGGGAGTCTTCCGGGAGTCTCTGCAGGCATCTGGGGGGCGCCTCGAGTACCTCTGAGAGAACCTTGGGGCCACCTTGGGACAAAGCGCTCGTAAGGCTTTGGGGAGGTCCCCTCTTTTGTCTCTTTCTTGGCGCGCGCGCCGGAGTTCTAGCTAGGCTGGACAGGTGAACTCACGGGAGCTCGATGTTTACAGTGGTTTAGGGGCAGCCATGAGGACACGAAGACGACCAAAGAGAGTGCCAAGACAGCGTCAGAGAGTTCAACAGTATTCCCAGAAATTATATGCAATGTGACCTCGAAGTCTTGATGGGGCTCGGGAAGAACTTGAACAGAAAAGAATCACTGGAATTCCCTTCAACATGTAGTGCGCAAGAACCGGAGCGGGCCCAAGAGGCGCGCAAGGAACTCTTGGGAGGCAGTTTGGAGGCCGCTGGGGGACTGTTTTGTGGCCTCTTGAGGCCACTTGTGGGCCTCTTCAGGGCTCTTGGGGGCCTCTTCAGGCCTTTGGGGGACTCTTGGGGCTTCCTGGGGGCCTCTTGGAGCGGAAAGCTGGGATTGTCGAATTGCGTTCCCCCTGTTGGGCGGCTCTTCGGGCCATCTCGGGGCTCCCTTGGGCTGCCTCGGGGCGCTCTTGGGGCCTTCTTGGCCCGTCTTGGAGCTGTCTTGGGGGCTCTTGGGCGGTCTTGGGGCAGTCCTGTGGGCCCTTTTCGGCCGTCTTGGAGCGGTGGAAGCTCGAAAATGCAAGAAGGCTAAAAACAACAGAAACAATGACAATCAACTATTTTGGCCTTCTCGGGCGCTCCCAGGACGCCTCTCGGAGCTCTCTCAGGGCCTCTTGGAGACCTCCTGGGAGCCTGGAGGGCCGTCGGAAGTCCGTCTTGGGCTGCTTGGGAGCGTCTTGGGCAGTCCTTTCGCGTTTTGGGGGCTCCTTGGGGGCTTTTTGGGTCGTCCTGAAACGTTTTGGGGCCTCCCGGGGAGCCCCAGGGGGTGGTACCGGGAGTTGCCCCCAGATGTCTGCAAGGTGGAGGACGCTCACAGGGGGGGCGCACTCGTCTATAAGATAGATATATATATATATATATATATATATATATATATATATATATATATATATATATATATTGTGTGTGTGTGATACGGAGGAATTGCGGCGCTGAGCAGCCTCCCTGGCCTGAATGCGGGAAAGCAGGCCTTGCAGACCAGGCGTCTGGACCAGGGCCTCCAGGCCAGAGGTTGGCCTTGCCGCTTCGGGTGGGGGAGGCGTGGTCGCAGCAAAACCCTTACCATACCAAGGAGGAGGGGGCGACCCACCATGGGCCTGGCCACATAGAGTACACCTCCTTGAGATGAAAGCCCCATGGCCAAACTGGGGGACCCCCCCCCTCCTGGTCTGGCCAGGGCTCCCTGCCCAGAGATCCGATATCTTGATGTCTTCAACACGTGGCGGCGCGCACAAGGGGGTAGGGG